TGGGATCACAAAGAATCAGACACGACTGAAACTACTTATCATCAACAATAACAACGCATATGTGTCGAGACAGACACATCCCTGAGATATGGTTGGTAGAGGGAACTAACTAACAGTGACCCCAGTGGAGACTGGAAGATGGAGGAAATTCTTTCTACCACTAATTCTTTCTACTTAATTTATTTCTACTACTAAGTTTTTCTAATGTGTAGCCTCAGAGAGTTACCTGGAACACTGAAAAGTTAAGTGACTCACCTAGGGTCATATAGCCTTCCTGACTCTGGGTCTGACTCCTTCTATACTGCCTCAATACAAAATAGAGTTCCTATAAAGTAATTTCAAGGTGGGTAGAGCACCAACAGCTGGGGGATAAGAATAGGTGTCCTCCAGGAGATGGTACGTAGAAGATAGTGGAAGTGAGGAGGGAGGGCATTCCTGGCGTGGAGTATGGCATGTACACAGATACCGAGGTAGGAGATAGATGTCAGCCAAGGTGAACGGCTTGTAGGCCTCTCTGGCTGGAATATGGAAGGTGTGAGAGGGGATGGGGAAGCGACTGGACTGGGATTTCATTTATAGAGGGGTCTCTCCCATAAGGAAACTCCTCCCGATACAGATCAGCATCTTCTCAGAAACATATTGTGTTAGAAACTTGCATAGTGTCCCAGCACATATGCGTCACCCTCTGAACTTGACCCCAGGCCTCAGAGGCTTTGAGTTTCTCTGCCCACTGCACTACACTACCGCCCGTGTGAGGGGGACCAGTGTGAAATCAGTGTGAAATCAGACGGTGAAGGCAAGAGGAATTTCTTTTTGTTCCTGGAGGCAAGAGGGAGGCAGGAGAGCTTCACAAGCAGGGGAATGAATGGAGGAACAAATGAAAAAGTATTTAATAAGCACTTTCCACGTGCAAAGCGTCATGCTAAGAACTGGGGATACACATGGAAAAGTCAGAATGTCCTGCCCTCAGGGAGCTCACATTCTAATGGGGGAGACAATGTCCATGGGAGTTTCAGTGCAAGTCAGATGGAAAGGGTTTCATCATCCTCAGGGTGAAGCAGATGGTGGCACCTCTTCCCTGATGCCATTTTCACTGATGGAATCATGTATTTTCTCATGTTGAACCTTTGGAGAGCACCAAGGACTTGGGCAACAAGAACCTTCTTTCCCCAGTCTTCGGTAGCTGTGGCCCTAGGATTTAAAGGAGCAGCATCCAGGCTTCATCCCCTACAGGGGCTAGGCCACTGGGCTGGACCCATTGCCCTTCCCAAGGCTCTTGGGTTCAGAATCTTACACTGTCCCCTTTAGGGTCTAAGGAAGATGGTGGTCAAGGTGGTGGTTTGACCTGCGTGGCATCTCCTGCCTCCTGTCTATGCCCCCAAGGTACCTGGCTACTTGAGCTAGGCTGGCTTGCCTGATCTATGGGTGGCAGTTGGTAGGGCTGGGGATCCCCTTTTCTACAGGAATTGCTTCCCCAGATGATGACTGTGAGAGCAGGGTGGGTGGTTTGGCTGGCGGGGGGTGGCGTACTGCTATTCACAAGGCTCTTGACTTAAAGGTTCTGGGCTATCTTCACTAGGGAGTGATGTGGTCAGACCTGTGCCTTAGGGATAGCAGCTGGGCAGCCTCTCCACCCACCTGGTGGGAACATGAGGGGTACCTTAGTTGGAATTTTCTGCAGGGTCTTCATTGTAATGACTCCAAGGCCTGTTTGGGACACCATGTTCTTCCCTGGGGCTCAAGGGCAGGATGACCTCACCTTGGGAGGAGTGGCCCTCAGCCCTCTGGGGATGGTTGTTTGTCTTGGACAGATGCCTTGGGAAGAAGATAAGTTATAGGAAACTGAGCATTAGATTGGGAAGCCACAGGGGACCTCTGAGAACTGCAGCTCTTCATCCAATCACAGACTCTCAGAAACAGAAGGGGCCTTGGTGGCCATCTAGCCCAGCCCCCTACTTGAGAAAAGAATACCCCCTTCAAATATCCCCAATAAAGGTCATCCAGTCTCTACTGAGTGTGGGGAGGAAAAGGTGAGGTGGAGCCTGTATCGGCCTATTTTTAAAAAACAAATAAAAAACGGAAGTTTTATTAATGCCTTTTTACAGCATTGTCATTTCTTCCCCTCCCCTTTTTTTTGAAAGAAAATTGGGGTTAAGTGACTTGCCCAGGGTCACACAGCTAGTAAGTATCTGAGGTCACATTTGAACTCAGGTCCTCCTCACTTGAGGGCTGGTGCTCTATCCTCTGGTCACCCAGCTGTCCCCATAGTCATTTCTAAATAGCATCAGAGACCTGGAAGAGACCTGGGAGGTCATCTGATCCACCCCCCCCCCCCCATTTTAGAGAGGAAGAAACAGAAAGGTCAAGTAACTTGTCTAAGGTCACCGAGACAAGTGTATGCCGAGTCAGGACTGGAACCCAGGTCTTCCTGATGCCAAGACCAGTGCTCTATGCATAGTGTCACACTGCCGCTCACAAATGTTCTTATGGTTCTGCAATAAATCAATCAATAAACACTTATTAGTGCCCACTATATGCCAAGCCCCATACAGTTCCTGTGGGTCTTCCCATATTTCTTTAAATTCCTCATATGTGCTGTTTCTTACAGTGCAGTGATCATGCATCCTATCTGGGGACCTCAGCCTCTTTGCCTCTCCCTTTGGATGTTTCCCGGGTCCCAAACACTGCGAGGCGGCTTTGCTTTTGGGGATGGCTCTGGGGAAGAGCAGAGCTATTTTGGAAGGGGCTGGACAGCTGCCGACCACAAGCCTGTGATGATTGGTGAGCCTGGCAGGAGGAATTTTCCCCCTAATCCCTTCCCTGCCCAGCCTTGTGAGGTATCAATCTCTCTTCTGTAATTGGCTGAGGCAGGAGGTAACTAGTTTCAAGGTCAGCAGTTCCAGGAACAATTTCTATTTGGTTTCCTGGAAAAGACACCAAGATTATTCTGTGACAAGGGCTTTGAGCCCATTGAGAAGGATTCCTGATTGGGGATTTTAAAAGCTCAATTTCCCTTACGACCAGGGCACTGTCGTGATCTGTTAATGATGGGGTAGTTCCAAGAATGGTACATTGGAAAAGGCATGGCATTGGGGTCAGAAGACCTGGACCTGAGTTTGAATCCTTGGGCAAATCACTCAATCTCTCAGTTTCCTCCTCTGTAAAATGAAGAGACTGGACTAGTTGTCCCCTAAGGTCCCTTCCAGCTCTAAATCTATGAGCCTGTGACATTCTCAGCCCTAGAAAGGACTTAAAAAGTTATCCCACACAGCCTTCCACTCCTTCCTTCCATCTCCTCATCTGTCTTCTCATCCAGCTTTAGCTAAATGTTTAACAATTGGCTCTCCAACAGGACACACTTTTCAAAGGAATTTGCACTATTAATGTTTTCTCCATCGCTTTCTTGAGTCTAGACAATCAACAAAACAATGAATCAAGCTGTGATTTGTAAAGCATTTTAACATTTGCAAAGTACTTTATATCTCATTTGGTCCTCACAACAACTCTGGGAGCTAGTTGCTAATTTATCTCCATTTTACAGAAGAGGAAACTGAGGCTGAGGAGGTTAAATAGATTGCCCAGGGTCACATAGGTAGTGCCTAAGGCTGGATTTGAACTCAGGTCTTCCCAAATGCAAGCCCAGAGTGCTATCCAGCATGTCACCTAGGTGGTTCCACACCGTGAACCTGCAGCTCTTGGTGGGCATTTATTGAGTACATACTGTTTTCCAGGCACTGTGCCAAGTGCTGAGGATTCAGGTAGGAGCAAACAAGACAAATCTTTGTTCTCCAGGAGCATCTACTCCAATGGGGGAGACGACACAGAAAAGAACGTAGACTTGAGATAACTTGGAGCAGATGGAAAGTGGGGGTGGGGGGGGCAGAGGTGAGGAGCAGGTCCGTTCCTTTGATCCAGACCCAGCTGCCTGGACCTCTCAGAGACACAGGACTCATCCTCCCCTTGTCAGTAGAGCCCTGAGATGTCCTTGCCCTTGAGTGCAAATCGATAATAATTTCCCTGCTGGAGGGAAAAAATCTCCATTGATGGTTTCTGCAGTGATACCTTGGGCCTTGATTTCTTTTTCAAAAGGCTGCAGCCCTGTCAGGTGCAGGCGGGGGACGGGAGTTGATGGAGGCTCGCAGCGGTTTTCTCAGGCCTATCTGAGAGCCTGAGTGCCTACTCTGAACGGGCAACTTCTGGTAGGGGCGGCCTGTGGCCCTCCTGGTGTCCTGCTAGCTACATGGGCAACCCAGGGGTGAGCAGCAGCACTCGATCTCTTCTTACCTCAGGTAGAAACTCTCTCTTTCCCTTCCTTCCTTCCTTCCTTCCTTCCTTCCTTCCTTCCTTCCTTCCTTCCTTCCTTCCTTCCTTCCTTCCTTCTCATATGTTTCCCTCCCTCCTTCCCTCCTTCTATCCCTCCCTCTGTTCCCTCCTTTTTTCCGTTTTCCTTCCCTTCCTTTCTATCCTCCTTCTCTTCTCTCTCCTTCCTTCCTTTTCCCCCTTAATTCTTTCCTTTCTTCCTTCCCTCCTTTCTTTCCTTCCTTCCTTACCTCCTTTCCTTCTTTTCTTCCTTCCTTCCCTCCCTCCCTCCCTCCCTCCTTCCTTCCTTCCTTCCTTCCAGAGAGGACATGATGTGTGCAAAGCATTTTGTAAATTGTAAAGTCCTATACAAATGTCTGCCCTTATTGCCCCCAGTACCCAACAGAATGTCATGTCCACAGTTGGTGCTTAGTAATTGAGCCAGAAGGGATCTTAAAAGTCATTAGTCCAACCAGCTCATTTTACAGAGAAGGAAATTGAGGCCGAGAGATATTAAGTGGTCTGCCTAAGGTCACGCAGTGACGATTGTAACGCTGAAATGTCCTTGATCTGGGAAAACAAATGTGCTTCTCTGGCTTGGAGTAGGATTGCACCTCCCACATGAGGCACTACATTGAGATTGCCCGGGACCCTCCTTGTGTGCATGGTTGGGTGGTGTTAACCGTTCCTTCTCTCCCTAGGTCAGAGCTGTCAGATGGGAGAGCCCCAGCAGACTGGATGAAGCTGGCGTGGGCACCATGTCATCATGTGTCTCTAGCCAGCCCGCCCCCACACCCTCGGAGAGGCCCACACCACGGGATGAGAACCCTAAACCCTGCGAGGCCCTCCACGGGCTCTCATCCCTGAGCCTCCACTTGGGCAGCATGGAGTCCTTCATCGTGGTGACTGAGTGCGAGCCTGGCTGTGCCAGCGGGGCCCTGGGCCAGGGGCAGCCGGAGGAGCAGATGGAGCACGGTGGGGAGGAGGAGGAGGTTCTCCAGGCACCTGCTGACCCTGGGCCCCAGGCCCGGCCCCACCTCTCCGGCCGCAAGCTGTCCTTGCAGGAGCGGTCCCAGGCCACCCTGTCCCCTGGAGGGAGCGGGAGTGTGAACGGCCGCTTTATCTACCCCTCTCTTCCTTACTCTCCGGTCAGCTCACCCCAGTCCTCCCCCCGGCTCCCCCGCAGGCCCACGGTGGAGTCTAGACACGTCTCTATCACCGGGATGCAGGTAAGAGAAGCGGCGGGCACCCCTCATCTCTTGTGCGGTGTCTCCTTGTCTTTCTTCTGTAATGGTGGTTGAGGGATGGGACAGGCGGAGTTCTCATTAGAAGCTACCTTAGAGCAGGGTTGGGGAAGCTGCAGCCTTGAGGCAAAATGATATAGAATGGAAATTGCAAGGCCAAGGAACTGAAACCTCTGTGGGGGGGGGGGTGTTGCCTGCAGCCTCAAGGCCACATGTGGCCCTCTAGGTCCTCAAGTGCGGCCTTTGATTGAATCCAAGCTTCACAGAACAAACCCACTTAATAAAAGGATTTGTTCTGTAAAACTTGGGCTCAGTCAAAAGGCTGTACCCCAGGACCTAGAAGGCCACATGTGGCCTCAAGGCCAAAGGTTCCCCACTCCTGCTCCCCACTTCCATGTCATATGCATGAAAGGAAGTTATCCTTTCACAATGAGTCTGGGAGAGTGAGGTGGTCCTAAGTTATGGAGAAAAGAGAAGTTTGACCTTTGCTTGGTAGGAAAGCAGGAGCCACTGAAGATTCTTAAGCACAGGAGTAACATGGTTAGATCTATTTGGAAGAATGATGTGTTGAAGGAGACACAGTGAAGAAATCTAGACTGTCCAGATTGGTGGCAGTGGGGGCTGGTGGCTTTGAGAACAGAAATCCAGGGCAGACGGAAGCCACCTTGTAAAGGTGGGATCCCTAGGTCCTAGATGGGAAAGGACAGATCGAAACATGGGAGATTTCTTGAATTGGGAAGCCACAGGTCAGAAAGGGAAGTTGGGAGGCAGGGAGAGTTTGAAAAGAAAGGCAAGGGCTCCATTGGATGCATGTTGAATTTGAGGGGCTGGAGAGAAAACCAGGTAACTAGAGATAATTTAGTCTGAACCCATTTTAGAGATAAAGAAACTGAGGCCCAGAGAGGTCAGGTTGGACCTTGCTTGAGGTCCCACAGCCAGGAAGTGTCAGATCAGGGATTCCAGGCCCGATTCTCTGAGTCCAAATCCATCTGTTTTTCCTGTAACGCCGTGATACTCTGCATGGAGGAGTCAGGCGATTGCACCTCCAGGTTAATGAATCCCTCCTCCGCTGTCCCCCTCTCCCACCTGGCCCAAACTTCCTGAGTGTGTTTCCTTGAAGGCTGAACTTGGGGCTTTCACTGAGTTCTACCCTGCAGGTTCCTGCCAGAACCTTGCCTGGGGTAGGCTATAGCTCCCCTGAATTGGGTTAAGCCATCCTGGGGCTGCCTCGGGGATGGAGACCGAGGAGACCCAGAGCAGGGGAGGAACAGCCCCAAGGACACGTGCTGAGCGAGCGGGAGAACCAGGAGCAGAAGGAGGGTCTCCTCACTCCCCAGTCCAGCATTCTTTCCACTAAAAGCTCTCGGTGAAGTCCCCCACAGCATGGTACAATGGAAGGCAGACCAGCTCTGGAGTCTGAGGCCCTGGGTTCAGATCCCACCTCTGAGGTTATTGCACACGTGTGACCTTGGACAAGTCATTTAAACCACCCGGCCCTGTTTCCACATCTCTGAAATGAATAGGTTGGACGAGGTGGCCCCCAGGCCTCTTCTAGTCTAGGGTCCAGTTTTTATTGTTTTTCTGTTGTTTCTTTCAGTCATGTCTGACTCTGGGACCCCATCTGGGGTTTTCTTAGCAGAGATACTGGAGTGGGTTGCCATTTCCTTCTCCAGCTCATTTTACAGAGGAGGAAACTGAGGCAAACAGAGTGAAATGACTTGCCCAGGGTAACACAGCTAGATAGTGCCTGAGGCTAGATTTGAACTCAGGTCTTCCTGACTCCACGCCCAGTGCTCTATCCACTGTGCCACCTAGCTGTCAGGATCCTGTGACCTCAGTTCAAATCCTTACTACCCTTATGATTTTAGGCCAATCACTTAATTTCTCTGGGCCTCGTTTTTCTCACCTCCAACATGAAGGGGGTTGGATTAGAAGGCTTCTGAAGGTTCTGTTTTGGATCTCTGGTCCTAATTAATGCCCCCTTCAGCTGCTTCATCAGGTACGGCAGTGACTCTGGGTCTGTTATCTGAGCATCGGGTTGGCCCAGATCCATGCAGCTCATTTGCTGTATTTCTTGGGTGTGAAGTGAAACTTCAGGGTTTGTTTCAATGTGCATTTCCTGTATGATTACTGATGTGCTACATTCTTTCTCTTATGCTACATTTTCTATATTACTGGAGAACGGTAATAATAACTAACGTTTATATAACGCCTACTATGTGCCAGGCACTGTGCTAAGTGCTTTACAAATATCTCATTTGATCCTTGCAACAACCCTGGGATGTAGGAGCTGTTATTGTCCCTATTTTACAGATGAGAAAACTGAGGCAGGCAGAGAGTTAAGCGACTTGCCTAGGGTCACACAGCTAGGAAGTGTCTGAGGCTGTATTTGAACTAAGGTCTTCCTGACTCCAGGTCCCGTACTTTCTGCACTATGGTGCCTCATAACTGCCTGTTTTATCATATTCTTTGACCATTTGTCTATTGGGAATGGCTTTTATTCTTACATATTTGTTAGTTGGCCATGTATCCTGGATATCAAACCCTTGTCATTGATATTTAATACAAAGTTTTGCCCCAGTTTACCACTTACTACTAATTCTAGTTGCATTAATTTTATTTATGCAAAAGTGTTTCAGTTTTCAGTTTCACATAATTAGAATAGAATTACCCATTTTATCTTGTAATTGCTTCTAGCTCTTGTTTGGTTATTAATAATACTAATACTAGTAGCTGTGTTGTTACATAATAATAATTGCATTTCTAGCTAATGATAACAATAATAGTAATAGCACTTTAAGTTTAAGCCTGTTCCCTCCCTGCTCTGGGTCTCATTTTTCTCTAGCTAAGAAAAGCTCATCCCCAAGGAAGGGTCCCAGGATTGCTTAACCTAATTCTGGGGAGCTATAACCTATCCTAGCAAAGATTCTGGCAGGAGCCTGCGGGGCTGGGCTGTGGAATCCCAGAGTTCATTGAAAACCCCCGAGTTTAGCCTTCAAGGAAACACACCAGGAAATTCAGGTCAGGTTGGGGGAGGCAGGCAGAGGAGGAATTCATTATGCTCTTTACATATGTTATCCCATTTGATCCACACAAAAGCTCTGGGAGGGAGGTATAATTATTACCCCCATTTTAAAGGTCAGGAAACTGAGGCAGAGAGATCAAGAGACTTGCTCAGGGTCCCGCTTGAGATCAGTGCTCTGCCTTGCTGTTTCACCTTGCTGCATTGCTTATCTTTGGGGCTCATGACATCCGTGGGATGGTTACAGACAGGATTAGAGGCTGAGATAACCAGCTAAGCATTTTAGGATCTTCGCACAGAAGGTTGTAGACTGTGTGTGAAGCCTCAGCTCCCCTAATTATGAGGTTGGGAGGAAGTCACTGCAATCCCACCTGGGGTGGGAGAGCCTTGTGGGAGGAGACAGGGGAGGAGACAGCCTTGGGCACCCTGGGAGCCCTCGTGGCTCACAAGGCCTGCAAAAACCCCGGAGGATGCTGGGGAGGCCCCACAGTCACTCCCCACCTCCAAGTGTCTGATAGCAAAGGAGTCCCTTTGAAGAGCGTAGAAGTTCCCCAGGCCCCGGCCAGGCCCCACACTTCTTTTTTGTCTTGGAGCGAGATCTTTGGCGGGGTGGTATCTTCATTCAGCCCTTACCTGTGGCCAGAGGGGGGAGGCCAAGATTTTGGGTACAGGCAGGGCCCTGTCTGCCTCTGCAGCCGAGGAGGGAAGTCCCACCTGCCAAGGAGAAGTCTGGTCCTCCGAGGGAAAACCCACTTTCAAATTAGCTTTCTAAAATCCTATTTTTAATGATAGAGGATAGAGACCAGACTTGTGATTTCATTGGTTTGGGGACCTCCCTGGTGAGGAAACTCCCTCTCCTGATTCAGCTTATGAGGGAGTCAGTCAACAAACATCTGTTAAATAGTTACTCTGTCCCAAGCATTGTGCTAAGTGCTAGGGGTTCAGAGAAAGGCAAATACACATAAGTGCCTGCCCTCAGGGAGCTCACGGTCTAATGAGGGAGGCCACATGCAAACAACTGTGTACCTAAAAGATCTAAACAGGGTCAGTGGGAGGTAATGTCAGTAGAAAGTGGACTATAGGGAAAGGCCTCCTGCCAAAGAAGAGATCTGAGCTTGAAGGGGTGATGGGACCTGGGCCCCAAAAGCCCTAAGACTATGTCTCTGGGATTATCAGAGCAATTACACTGACCCAAGGCCTCTGTCCTTGGTGCCAGATCCTCACGGACCAGCCTCTGACAGCCAAACAAAAAAACCTGTCTTTTCTCCCTCCATGTCTGGTATCAACAAAGTTTTCTCTGCAGACTCCATGGATTTTCCCATCCATGGATCACAGACACCTTCTTTCAAAGCTCCTGGACCACTTGCATATGCCGACCACTCCCTAATCCCATCCCCACCCCCTACCCCCATCACCTAATTAGCATCCTTGGCATCCTCTCACTGTCTCTCTTCCATATAAGCTTTTCCATCACTCTTATCAGGTTACAGGTTCCCTAAGAACCCTTGCCTGTTTCTATTGGCATCATAATAAACTTTGCCACTTGACTGGAGGATGGTTTGAGTGTGTGGATTCATTCCAGGCAACATCACCCTGTACCCTGACATTTTGAGGTCCCAGCACCCCTAAGCTGTGTCAGCACCCCTAAACCTCATCAAGTTGAACCTTGCAGAAATTCCGGAAAGCCAAGAGGTAGAGATAAGGAAGGAGAATATTCTAGGCATGAGGCACAGCCAGGGCAAAGGCACAGAGGTGGGGTGTCCCATTTGGTGTGAGGAAGAAACAGCAAGAAGGTCGTATTGCTGCATCTTATAGGGAGGGGCCCGGTTTGAAGGGTTTTAAATGCCATTTTATATTGGATCCTGAGGGTAATAGGGAATCACTGGAGTTTATTCAAGAGGGAAGGTACTGAGAGCACTGAGAGGTTAATTGACTTTTCTAGGGTTTCCCAGCTCACATATGTTAGAGATGGGGCTTAAACCAGGCCATCCAGATCTGAGGCCAGCTCTCTATGCACCAGGCCATGCTGCCTCTTTTTTAATGAGATCTTTTGTTTTTATAATGCAGTTTTCTTGTTTAGTGATTTTCAGTCATGTCTGACTTTTTGTGACCCCATTTGGGGTTTTCTTGGCAGAGATATTGCAGTGGTTTACCATTTCCTTCTCCAGCTCATTTTACAGGTGAGGAAACTGAGGCAAGCAGGGTGAAGTGACTTGCCCAAGGTCACACAGTTAGTAAATGTCAAGTATCTGAGGCTAGATTTTGACTCAGGTCCTCCTGACTCCAAGGCTGGAGCTCTACCCACTGTGCCGCCTAGCTGCCCCCAAGGAAGCATTTATTAAGCAGCTGTTATGTGCCGGGCACAGGTGCTGAGGAGACAGAGACAAGAATGAGACAGGAACACAGTGGAGGAGAATGTTGGCTTTGGAGTCCACTGACCCGAGCTGGAATCCCAGCTGTGTGACTTCAGACACGCCGCTTAACCTCTGTTTCCTCCACTCGACTCAGTGCCCTCGAAGATCCTTTCCTGCTGTGGGTCAGATTCTGGGACCCTCCAGATACTTTATTCCACTGGGGGCAAATAGCAGGAGGTTGGACAGAATGCCAAGAAATCAAGAGCGAGATGACCTTTGCTGGCGGCCGTGGCAGAGATTCCAAGAGGTTGGACGTGAGGGAGGCATGGGGCACAGCCCAGTCAGGAGATGACAGATGTCACGGATGGGGACCAGCAGGCTTCCCAAACTTGCTTAGCGGATTGACCATCGATGACCTGGAGGGTGGTGCCCATGTGTCCTCTTAGTTGGGCAAAGGGTCGGAGGTGTGGTTCCCTCAGGCCCCCACCGCTTTGTTGGATCAATTCTGCCTTCTGTGGCTCTTGAGGTCAGCTAGGTGGCAATGGATAGAGATTGCTTATATTGGAGTCAGGAAGACCCGAGTTCAAATCCTGCCTCTATGACCCTGGACAAGTAACTTAACCTCTGTCTCAGTTTCCTCAACTGTAAAATGGGGATAATATTATCTACCTTCCAGGATGAGAAAGTATTTGTAAAGCGCTTTGTAACCCTTATAACATTATATTAATGCTAGCTGTTGTTTTTATTGGTTTGTTTTCTGCCTTGCAAAGAGGTCTGGGAGGACAGGGGTGGTAACAAATTTTTTTCTACTTTCTTTCCTTCTAATGACCTATCAACAGCTTTCTGGGGCTTGCCACTTTCCTGTTCAGGGGATCAGAGTCCAGATATTTTCTCAGTGTCCAGGTGGCCTCTGAGTCCACCCCCTACCTGTCTGGGCCTAGCCAGAGGTGACTTTTTTTTTTTAAACTTTTATTTTTCCCAGTTAATAATGATTTGTTTTCTCTTCCCCCTTCCCTTACACCCCTTGACAGAGATGCCTCTGACATTTTCCCCCTTGTCTCCTCTCTACCACAGGACTGTGTACAGCTTAATCAGTATACGCTGAAAGATGAGATTGGGAAGGTAAATAGAAAGAGGGGCTGGTGCCTCTCAGATACTTGAGGTAGGGGCTGGGAGGAAGAGGGAGGGGGGGATGGGAGAAGAGGAGGCCTAGGGGAGGGGAGAGTTCTGTTCAATTTGGTGCTGACGCTTTGGGTGGTTTTCTTTGTTTTTCGAAGAAAATTAAAGTTATTTCTGGAAGAAAAAACACTTCTTCAGGCCCCAAGTCCTACTCCTCCATTACGGTGGTAAAGACATTGTTCCCTTATAGTCATGGAAGCTTTGGGCCAGAAGGAATCTTAGGGGCATCTACCCTGATCTGGACTCGGGCAGGAATCTGAGCTACAGCAAACCAGAAAATGGTTGCTCAGCCTTTCCTTGAAGGCCTCCATTGGGATCACCTAGCCCAACCCCTCTGTTTTGTATGTGGGGAAACTGAGACCCAGGAAGGAAGAGAAACTGGCTTAAAATCACAGGAGTTAGCAAGAGACAAAGAAAAAATGTCTGTTTCACAGCCACTGACTGGGAAACATGATGGTGATCTTCAGGGGGAAATGGAGGAGAGTATGGTTGGTTCAGGTCAGCCCATTCACATACTGGAGAGAGGGCGTGGGGCACAGCAGACCATAGATTTAGAGTTGGAAAGGACCTTAGAGGTCATTTTACAAATGAGGAAACTGAGGTACCAAGGTTAAGTGACCCGCTTAGAGTGACCCAGCCAGTAAATGTCTGAGGTGGGATTTGAACCCAGGCCTTTCTGACTCCCAAGTCTTGATTTCTCTACTATATCATCTACCTTTCTGGCGGCTGGAGCATCAAGTCCCCGTAAGAAGGACAGCCCATTATTTCACGTGGAGGGGGCCAGATGGGTTCTCTTTTGTTGCCTTTAGTGAGAGCAGTCCAAAGTATGTTTCTGGCTTTATGCCTGGTCCTGCAGAAATAACTAAAATGGAGGAAAGACACACAGGAAATACTAACAGTTTTGGGCTGACCTGCCAGTTAGGGCCCTGGGAGCTGGGAGTGCTTGGGAGTGGGTTGGGTGGTCATGGAAGGCTGCCTGGGCTCTGAGCTTGACCTCAAAGGGTGGGTGGGAGCTGTAGAGGTGTCTGTAGTGAGGGGTGGGACTGTGGAAGGCTGCCTGGGCTCTGAGCTTGACCTCGAAGGGTGGGTGGGAGCTGTAGAGGTGTCTGTAGTGAGGGGTAGGACTGTGGCTATTCCAGGTCTACGGGTGGGACAGTGTCAGGCTGCATCCAGACCAGGCTGGCCAGGGGAGCTCTTGGGGAATACTCCTGACCCTGGCCCAGGGGATGCTGGGAGGAAGGACACCCAGGAGGGGAGTATCACAGACTTGTTCTCCTTCATTCAGGGTTCTTATGGAGTGGTCAAGCTGGCTTACAACGAAGATGACAATACTTACTATGTGAGTACCTGGCTTCCCGCCCCTGGTGGGCCCCTGGTCTGCAGGAGTGTGAGCTCTTTGAGCGTAAAAACTGCTTTCCATGTACCGGCTTGGAAGCCCTTCCTACTCCCTCGTTTTACAGATGAGGAAACTGAGGCACAGGGAGACGAGACTTTGGATAGGATCATGGATTTAAAAATGGAAAGAACCCTAAGGGCTATGTTGTCTACCCTCCACAATTTACAGATGAGGAAACTAAGGCTCAAAGAGATCGTAGCATCATAGATTCAGAGCAGGAAGGGACCCCAGAGGCCCTGGGGTCCACCCCCTCATTTCACAGATGGAGAAACTGAGGCCCTGAGTGTGGGGGAGGGAGTGAAGCTCCCTGCTCCAAGTCAGCAGAGGCTGATAAGCAAATACCAGAGCCAGGTTTACATGGGTCCTGTGAGGACGAGCCCAACACTGTTTTCCATCGAACCACAGTGGGAGAGATGGAATCTTGGGTTTACTACTTACTACCTGTGTGACTTTGAGCGAATCACTGGATGTCTTTGGGACTCTGTAAAATGAAGGGTCTGAACTATTACTACTACTAGTAATAATAATAATGATAATAATGATAATAGCTAGTATTTATAAAGTACTTTAAAGTTTGTAAAATGCTCTGCACACGCTGTCTCATTGAATCTTCCCAACAACTCTGAGAGATAAATACTATAATTGTTCCCATTTTACAAATGAAGCAACTGAGGCTGAGAGTGACTTGCCCAAGATCAAAAAACTAGTCTGAGGCAGGATTTGAACTGGGGTCTTCCTGACTTTAAGTCTAACACTATACACAATGTCATCCAGTTGCCTTGGAGCACTAGAAGACCTCCGACTTTCTAGCTCTAAAGTGATGATGTAATAATAATAATAATAATATAATAATAATGATAATAATAGCAACAATAATAATAGCAACTAATACTTACATGATACTTTAAGGTTTGCAAAATGCTTTTACATGTGTGATCTAATATGATTCTAAGAGCCATAGAATATGATCTTGTGATGAAATCATCCCTATGCGTTCAGAAAGCGCTTTTGTTCCCATTTTTGCAAATGGTGAAACTGAGGGGAAGGGGCTTACTAAAGTCACACAGTGGGTCATTGTCAGAGCCTGAATTATAACTCCCAGGGCTTGCAGCCCCCAAGTCCTAGCCCGTTCCCCTAGACCACACTCTCTTTCAGTGGACATCCGTTTTCCAGTTGTCTTGCCCCAAACCCTCTCCCTTGGCCCCTTTATTTGATAGGATATCCTGGCCACTGGACTTCCCACCAGGCTGGGAGGATCTGTCAGAGGGTTATGTTGTCCAGTGCTCAGAGCAGTGACTTGAGGTCATGAGGGCCTGGGGAGGGCTGGGGTTTAGCACGAGGGTCCTTGATAGATGCAGAATCCACCTCCGCTGTGGGGGTGACTCACCAACAGTGACTTGGACTTTGGGAATTTCCTCTTCCAGGCCATGAAGGTGCTTTCCAAAAAGAAGCTGATGCGGCAGGCAGGCTTCCCCCGTGAGTGTATGGGATTGGGATGAGGGATTGAAACAGTGCACGGGAGGGCTGGTTTGGGAGGTGGGGCAGGGTGGCCCATGACAGAAGATGGCAGTCTAGGCTAGAGATGGGGGCAAGTGAGGGGACTGGAAAGGAGATGGGCTTTCAAGCTAGGCCTCTTAGTTCTGGCTGCCTCCTCCCTTCCCTTGGCCTCCCCTCCAGGCCCTCCCTCTCCTTGGCCTCCACCCTTTCCCCTCTCCTTGGCCTCCACCCTTTCCCCTCCTCTTGGCCTCCACCCCTTCACCTTCTCCTTGACCTGCTCCTCCTTCCTTCTCCCTTTGGCCTCTATACTCCCTCCCCTTGGCTTCTACCTCCTCATTTTGCCTCTTGGCCTCTACATTCCTCTTTCTCCTTGGCTTTTCTTCTGACCCCCCACCCATTTGCTTCTACCGCCTCCCTTCCCTTCTTAGCCTCCCCTCTATCCCTCCTCTCCTTGGCCTCCACTCTTCCCCCCTCTTGCTCCCCTCCATCCCTCCTCCTCTTGGCCTCTACCTCCTCCTTTCTTCTCTTGGCCTCCATCTCCTCCTTTCTCTTGGCCTCCCCTCCATCCCCCCTTCCCTTGGCCTCCACCTCTTCCTTTCTCTTCTTGGCTTTCACACCCCTCCCTCTCACCTCCCCATCTACCACTGGAAGAAGTGCAGAAAGGGAAACAAAGGACAATTTTGTTACTAACTTGTTAATTTAATACCCGCTTAAAAGAAATGATACTGCACATAACAGGTTCTATAGACGATCATCCATTGTATGTTGCAATGACTACATTTGTTTATTATTGTTCACGAGCAAAAGAAAATTGAAAAAAAAATCCAAGAAAAGGAAGGTTTCCTCTTCCCCTGCTTCTCCCCAATGTGAAAGTAGCTGAGTAATACGGAGTAGACGATCTGCTGGTCTCATGTAGCCCAAGATCACCTCAGCTTTCTCGGCCGCCATGTTGAACTTGCAGTGCGCTAAAATCTCCGGGCATTTTTCAGACAAATGTCTGTCTCTCTGTCTCCCCCCATCCCATCCTTCCCTCTTGTTCTCATTTAGGTGATTTTTGGGTGGGCGGGCTAGGCAATGGGGTTGAGTGACTTGCTCAGGGTCACACAGCTAGTAAGTGTTATGTGTCTGAGGCCGCATTTGAACTCAGAGCCCTGAATCCAGAGCCGGGGCTCTATCCACTGCGCCATCTAGCTGCCTCTAGGTGATTTTTTTTAACCAATTATAAGTCCTTCCATTTATCCTAACTAAATTTCATTTTCTTAGATGTGGGCCAGTGGCCTAGCCTGGCCCAGGTCATCCAGTGCTTCAGAAGGAAGAGACATTTATGTTGGGCCTTGAAGCCTGGACGGGGTATCAACAGGTCAAGATGGGGGTGGGGGGCATTCCACGTATAAAGGATAGCTTGAGAAAGGCACAGAAACAGGAGAGGCTGCAAACCATGGGTGGTAAGTAGTCCAGTTGGGTTGGAATATGTGGTGTAAAGATGGAAGTAATGTGAAATTAGGCCCCGAAGGTTTGTTGGAACCAGGTTGTACCTAAAATTCCCAGATCATAAGCTTGATCTCCACTGAGATCCCTAGCAAGGAGCTAGGGAAGGTGCCTGAGTGGTGGAGCATTGCCAGACTTTTTCTGGCATGGCTCACTCTTCCTCCAACCTCACAGGTCCTCACAGTGCGGTGTGTTCATTCTTCCCTACCAGGCCGTCCCCCACCCCGTGGCACCAAGCCCGCCTCAGAAGGCTGCATCCAACCCAAGGGCCCCATTGAACAGGTCTACCAAGAGATCGCTATTCTCAAAAAGCTGGACCATCCCAATGTGGTGAAGCTGGTGGAGGTGAGATGCCAGGGAGGTGGGAGGAGAAGGGTGAGGGCAGAGCAGCTTTGAGATTAAGGAGCCCGTGAGGTAGACAGGGGACAGATGTGAGAGCTGGTTTAGGAGACCTGGAGATTATTGCCTGGGCTGTAATCTGAGCTTTTCCTGGATGCTGACGGGCAGATCTAAAATGGAGAGGGACAAAACATTCACCTTAAAAAGTAAATTTTTATTGCTACCTTTATTTATATGTTACCTACGTTTGTCAGCATATCCCTCCCATTTCCCTTCCTAGAGAGCTATTTCTTATAACACAAAATGGAAAAAAAGCACGTTAGGAAAACTAATGTATCAAAAAAGGTCAGACATTATATGCACTATTTCATATCCATAGTCCCCCACCTCTGCAAAAGCAGTGGAGGGAGGAGAACCAAAACACTTTGGATAGACCTATTAATTAATCATACAAATGGGAATTTGCTTGCCCTTATAATAAATGTGGGGCAGCTGGGTGGCAAAGTGGATAGAGTGCTGGAGTCAAGAAGACCTGAGTTCAAATTTGGCCTCACACACTTCCTAGCTGTGTGACCCTGGGCAAATCACTTAACTCTGTTTGCCTCAGTTTCCTCATCTGTCAAATGATCTGGAGAAGGAAATGGCAAACCACTCCAGTATCTTGATCAAGAAAACCCCAAATGGGGTCACAAAGTGTCAGACGTGACTGATAACAACCACAATAAATGTAGTAAACAAGATAGAGAAGTCCATGAGATGCTACTCTCTGGCCTTGATGCATTTGTTGAGAGGCAGTGTGGTATAATAGGTAGTGCACTTGCTTTGGAGTCAGGGAGAATTAAGTTCGAATCCTGCCTCAGACATTTTTCTAGCTGTGTGACCTTGGGCAAGTCCCTTGACCTTTCTAGGCCTCAGTTTTTTAAAATGAGAAGACCTCTATGGTCCTTTCGAGGCCTAAATCTATTATCTGATGATCCCATGGAAGAGAGCTCAAAAGTAGTTTTCAGTGGGGCAGTGCCTTGCTGACCTTTCACCTTAGAATCAGTGGGTGCAGGAGGTGGGGCCCTGCTTAGCTTCTTCTTGAAGCTGAAATCACAGACTTCATCAGTGTTGGAAACTCCCCTTCCTGCATCTAAGGCTTAGTAGGTAAATCCTAGGGAGGTTCCTGGGGCACAGAGGGGTTAAGGGACTCACTTGGAGATTGCACAGCCAGCATATGTTAGTGGAAGGGTTTGAACCCAGGTCATACTAACTCCAAATAGTTATGTCCACTCCATACCACTGCATGGTCTTGAGAAATCTTCACAAACACAGGCAGGGAAGGTGTGTGGGGAGAGGAAAGACAGAACTTGTGAGGATTTATGAGGTTGTTCCAGAAGTCTGGCCACACTGCACCGTGGGAAGTGAGTTTTTAGTTCCCAAGCCTTGGGCCTTCTCTCCACATCTTTGTCTTCATTTCGGAGAGGAGAGAATGGAGAGTGTAGCAGGCCTGCCACTAAAGCACAGACTGGGAGGATATTGACCTTACGCCTTCCCACCCTTTCCACTCTCTTCTCTCCTAACCTCTCCCGTGTTTGTGTCTTTCTTGACAGGTCCTGGATGACCCAAATGAGGACCATCTCTACATGGGTAAGAAAGCCAGCTTATCCTTCCACTGCCTCCAAAGCCCCAGGGGCCCTTCCTTCTCTACTCGCTGAGATGCCCCTTCACTTGTGATAATAGCTTACATTCTACAGCGCTTGAAGGTTGGCTAGGCATCGTCAAGTTTGAACCTTACAACAGCCTGGTGTGAAGTAGGGGCTATTATTATCCCCATTTTACAGATGAACAAACTGAGACATAGAACAGTTAGCTAAGTGACTTGTTCATAGTCATAGCGCTACAGTGAGTGTCTGGGGCAAGATTCAAATCTAGGTCTTCCTGATTGCAGGTGGGCAGCTTAGTACGGTGGGAAGAGCTCTGGTTCAGAGGCAGAGGATAGGCCAAGAGGACTTGGACCCGTGATTTCTTTGGTACAGGGAACTCCCCCTTCTCTTTTCTCTCTCTCTCCCTCTCCTTCTCCCTCTCCCTCTCCAGTTATACTAGTGTCTAAGGCTGGATTGGAACTCAGGTCTTCCTGACTCCATGTCCACTTAGCTGCTTATGGGAAGTAGTGGGGAAGGTTAGACTGCGTGTCCTTTGAGGTCTCTTCTAGTGTCCCATTCACGGTCCTTTGAGGGAGGAAAAGAAAGGCCCCGTCCTCAAGGAAATTCCAGTCCTAAGAGGGATTAGCAATCACTACTGTAACAATCTCTCCTGTTGGTGCTGATTAGAAGGAAGGAAAGAAGCATTGCCAGGCACTGTGCTAAGTGCTTTATGAATATTATCTCCTCTGATTCTCACAACCACCCTGGACAGTAGGTGATATTATTATCTCCATTTTACAGATGAGGAAACTGAGGCAGATAGAGGTTAAATGACTTGCCCAGGGTCATACAAACTAGTAAGTGGCTCAGGCTGGATTTGAACTCAAGTCTTCCTGACCCCACAATCTAGCTGATTTTCTTGATAGACAAAAGTCCCGGATAATAATAATAATAATAATAATAATAATAATAATAATAACAATAATAATAACAATAATAATAATAATAGTAATAATAATAAAAACCAGGAAGAATCTCTTCTGTTGGAATTGGGGCTGCATTTTGGGCTGCATCACTTTTGATGGTCACAAGTTCCTGTTTGTGACTCTCTTTGGTTTGGGCTAGTATGCAAATGAAGCTGTGTTTCCTGAGTCTACGCCACATAGCAGTGGGCAGGGAGGACTCAGTGTCCTGGGAGTGGAGGGAAGGGGGTGGGATGAGGGAATAGGCAGCAGCCTGGGCTTTCAGTACTGTGGATAATCCACGCTCATAGGGGGAATGGAAAACTCACTGCACAGAATGCCAGATGGGATTCGAAAGCATCTGAGACTTTTATGAAGAAGTTACCCAGAACTAGGGTGTGCAGAAGAGTATGTTCTCCTTGGGAAGATGGCTACAGAGTCAGAAGATTCTGCCCTCAAAGCATCTGGGGAAGTCCTCTTAGGAAACCCCAGCATCCCAGGGCTGGAAGGGACCTCAGAGATCACCTAGCCCTTGCACAACATTCCTGACTGTCCAGTTTCTTCTTGGAGACCTCTAGGGGTAGGGAGCTCACTAGCCCCTGGAGCTGCCCATTCCTCTTCTGGACAGTTCTCACTATTTAGAAGTTTTTTCTTAGAGGCAGCTAAGGGACCCAGTGGATAGGGTGATAGAATTAGCAAGACCTGAGTTTGAATCTTTCCTTAGATACGTACTGTCTGTGTGACTCTGGGCATACTTTGGTCTCACTTTCCTCATCTATTAAATGGGAATGATAATGGTACCTACCTCATAAGGTTGTTGTAAGACTCAAATGAAATAACACATATAAAGTGTTTGCAAACTTTAACATTACATAAATTATAATAAATTATAATATTGAGCATAAATGAACCTTTCTGCGATTGTAGCCTGCACTCCTGGTTCTTCCCCCCTGGGGCCAAGTTCAGTCCCCTCTTGCGTATCACAGCCCTTCAAACTTGAGGACTATTCTCCCCCTTCCTGCCTCCCCACCCCTCCCCCAGCCTTCTTTTGCCCAGACTAAATAATTTCAGGTGCTTCAACTTTGCCCAACACTAGCTCCCATCTTCTTGACCTTCTCTGTCCACTATTCATCCATCTCAGTATAATTCCAAAAATGTACCCAGAACTGATTACATTACTCGAGATGTGCTCTGTTGAGGGCAGAGGGCAACAGCCGGTCACCTCTCTTGTTCCAGACATTCGACCCCTAGTCATGCAGCCTGAGACCCATTGACTTCCTTGCTGCCATGATAGGTTATTGACCCATGGTGCTTTCAGTCCACTATGGCCCTTGGCTCTTTTTCACATCAGTCACTTAACAGACATAGGAACTATGACCCAACCCCATTTCTCCCTGATCTTGCATTTGTAAAGTTGATTTTTTTTTAAAATTTTGGCAACCCACGTATTGGATTTCACATTTCTTCCCTCACCTTTTATTCTATTTGGTTCATCATCCTTGCCTTTCAAGGTTTTTTTTAATTCTAATTCTATCATTTCCAGTGTGTTAGCTATTCTACCCCGCTTCTTGTAGTCTCCTGATTTGCAAAGAGCATACCATCTGTCCCTTAATCTAGCTCATTGATAAAAATGTTGAATTATAATCATAAATCCTAAAGAGAATTATAAACCTACAAATATGAGCTATTGCTAACCAAAAACATCCTGTGGAAGAAATCTGTTCTATAGCTAGATCCTGATTAGTGCAAAGAATGAGTTCCCTGAAGTGACTGCGTTATTCAAATTCACATCATGTTTTCCTTTGGCCTGAAATGAATGACCGTATTTTACATAATTATAACTTTGAATAATTCGAATTCAAGTACATGTGACCACTTCAGGAGATATGTTATTCACCCTAATCAGGACCTAGCTGTACTGATTTTACTGATGAAGAAAATGAAAATGAGGGTATCATAGCTAGTTAAGTGTAGGAGGAGAGATTTGAACCCAGGACTTCCTGACTGTAAGTCCAGTTCCCTGTCTACTACGCCATGTGGTGTATACATCCCCCTTGCTCCCAAGAGTTGACCCAAACTGCCTAATGATGACATAACTGAGTTCCATAATACACGTCACTTTCCACTTGTGTGTATTATCCATTAACAGAAAAGAAGGATGTGTCTGATAACTGATGTCAGAATTATAATAACCGTAACTCTGATGGTTTAATATGAATATTGTCCATCGCATTTGACCGGAGTTTTGAATGCCTAACCATGATGGTTCTATTTATACCATCTTGTTTCTTGTATGGATTGTTTTTTGGATTCTACTTTCCTCACTCTGCATCAGTTCCTACAAGACCTCCCATGTTTCTCTGTATTCTCCACTCATCCTTCCCAATGGGGCAGCGATGCTCCATTCTCTTCCTGTACCCAAATGCCGTGCACATGTTTCACTTCCAGGTTTTGTTATTACACGGAGGTCTTCTCTTTTGGCCAGTTACTTCCTTGGGGGTATTGTGCTTGGTATGTTTATTAAATAAAATTATAGACTATTAGACCTGGAAAAAAACTTTAATTTATACATCTGTCTCATTGCCCGAGAGTAGGGCAATCCTTATGCTTATATTATGTCCTGGACCCCTCGGACAGTCTGGTGAAGCTTAGGGACCTTTTCTCAGAAGAATAATCGCTAACATTTACATAGAGCTTCCTACATGCCAGGCACTGTGCTAAGCGTTTTATAACTTATCTCTTTTGGTCCTCACAATGACCCTGGGAGGTAGATGTTATTATTATTATTATTGTTAGTAATAGCTAACATTTATTTAGGGGGCAGCTAGGTGGCACAATGGGTAGAGTGCTGGGCCTGGAGGCAGGAAGACTCATCTTCCTGAGTTCAAGTCTGGCTTTAGATACTTACTAGCTGTGTGACCCTGGGCAAGTCGCTTAACTCTGTTTGCCTCAGTTTCCTCATCTGGAAAATGGGCTGGAGAAGGAAACCACTCCAGTGTCTTTACCAAGAAAACCCCAAATGAGGTCACGAAGAATCTGATGTGACTGAAAAATGACTGAACAACAGAACATTTGTACAGTGTTTACTATGTGCAGGCACTTAATAATTAGTATCTTATTTGATCCTTACAACAACCTCTGGGAGCCAGGTGTTATTATTATTTCCATTTTACAGATGAAGAGACTGAGTCAATATAGGTGAAATGACTAGTCCAGGATCACACAGCTAGTAAGTATCTGAAGTTGGACTTGAACTCTGGTCTCCCTGACTCTCGGCCCAGCGTTCTGTGCTCCATGGTGCCACCTAGCTGCCACAATGGTTCTAAATGCATAAAATAAAATAGATGGGTTGCGAAGGAAATGAATTATATTAAAATAGAATCCAAACAAGGTCACAGACCCCGGGTTAAGAAGCTGAGCCCTACAGTCGCCTCTTGGCTATGACCAGAACAAAATCTCGACGTCTCTGCGGGACCGTTTGGGTTTGGTAGAAGGAAATGAGAAGGCAAGGAAGGAGGTTAGAGCTGCAAGGGACCTCCGAGATCATCCTCTCCAATGCTTGGTTTTAGAGAGAAAGATGCTGATACCCAAACTGTGTCTGAGGCCACAGGGAGAACGAGCTTTGTTGTGCTGTTTAGCTGTTTTAATCACGTCAGACTCTTCGTGACCCCGTGTAGGATTTTCTTTGTAAGTTTGCTATTTCCTTCTCCAACCCATTTTGAGGAAGCTGAGTCAAACAGGGTTAAGTGACTTGCCCAGGGTCACACAGCTAGGGAGTGTCTGAGACTGGATTTGAACTCAGGAAGATGAGTCTTCCAGACTCCAAGCCCCGAGCTCTATCTACTTAGCCACCTGGCTGCACCAAGTTGTGGACCCTGGTTCCTGATTCCAAACCCATTGTTTCTACATTCCCCCATTGGCTATCTCAGCTTTTTGGGGGCTCCACAGGCTTGATCACCATAACGTCTCTGGGCCCCTTTCCTCCCCATCTGAAACCTCTAGAATTATTGAGCAATTTGGGCCAGAAATGGGCTGGTTTTATACAACCATATCAACCCACTCGCTCCTGGCTGGTTTCCGGTGTTTGGGTGGAGTGAGGACCTAGATGCTTACAAGCTGAGAGGGAGTTGTACCCTGGTGGGTTTTATGAACCAACCCTCAGCCATAAAGACTAAAATAACCATGAGAAATTCGGGCCAGATCCGGTCTCCGTGATCTGTGATCTGTCAGGGGCTCGGACAGCTGGTTGAGTTCTCCTCTTGCCTTCTTCTCTGAAGTCTTTTCCAAAATACATCAATGTCGTGCCCTCGATTGTAGCCGCAGCTGCTTTGTCTTAACTTGTATTGGCCTGCCACACATCAGTTTTGAATTTAAGGCTTGGGGAGTGTACCCTGTGCTGTGGCATACTGACGCAGCCCGCTGTGGGGACAGGGGGTTGTCAGACTTGGTTGGAGTCAGGAGACCTGGGTTTGAGTTCTCTTTCTGATGCTAGCGATGCCATGCGATGGGCATTTCTGCAGTTGTTGCCGAGTTGTTTTAGGTATGTCCGACTCTTCGTGACCCGTTTTTGGGATTTTCTTGGCAGAGATACTGGAGGAGTTTGCCATTTCCTTCTCCAGCTCATTTTAAAAATACTGTTTTTAAAAATTTCCTCCAGTTACATGTAAAGACAGTTTTTAACATTCATTTAAAAATTTTTTTTGAGTTCCATATTTTCTCTTCCTCCCTTACCACCCCCCTCTTTGAGACAGTAATCATTCACAGCTATCTATCATACAACGTTGCTGTCACTGTGTTCGACGTGGCATTCATACACCATCAGTTCTTTGGAGGTGGATAGCAGAACTGTCTTGGATCATTGTATTGCTGAGAATAGCTAAGACATTCACAGCCGTCCATCATACAATGTTGCTGCTGCTGCGTTCAGTGTTCTTCTGGTTCTGCTCACTTCACTCTGCATCAGTTTATATAAGTCTTTCCAGGTTTTTCTGAAATCATTTCTCATAGTGCAGTCATATACCACAACTTGTTCGCCAGCTCATTTTACAGATGAGGACTTAAGTTATGGACAAATTCCTTTATGTCTGAGCCCTCAGTTTGCTCATCTGTAGAATGGGGCAGATAACACATGCGCTACCCACCTACAAGGGCTGTTGGTTTGCTGAACCTCCAAGTGCTATGGAAACGTGGGTTTTAATATCTGTTTCCTTTTCTGAGAATGCCGAGGGTGCTGGGAGGCTGCAGGCATTTGAACTCTGTTTCTGAGGAATTCAGCTCCCTCCCCTTTTGCTTTCCCATCCCCTACTGGGTATATAAACTTAAAGGATACTTTTTGGGAAAATTCTGGTAAATAAAGTGAACTCTAGTTGGCCATGGGAGGGGGGAGTTGGGAAGGGGAGGGGAGGACAAGACTGGATTGTAGAATGACCAGCTCCCAATTTGTCACCTCTCTTTCCTTGCAGTGTTTGAACTGGTCAATCAGGGGTGAGTATTCCAGGCCAAGAGCTCCACCGTGTTTCCCAGGGGGCCGAGCTGAGGGCGGAGAGCCCAGAGGCTGGGGGAGGGGAACCATTACATTGACCTAATTAGATTTTTTTTTTTCCAATGAATGTTCAGGCCTGTAATGGAAGTGCCAACAGTCAAGCCACTGACTGAGGACCAGGCCCGATTCTACTTCCAAGATCTGATCAAAGGCATTGAATACTGTGAGCCAGTTTTCAACAAGTCTGGGAGGAGAGTAGGGTTTTCAGGGAGGTGGAGGCAATTTCCCTGAATTTCCCTGTGGGGCGAGGGGAGGAGTACATTCTCTAAGATACAGTCATAAACTGCCTCAGACTCTGCAATGACCGTCACATCATTTTACAATTACAGATTACGATGATGGTCAGATTTTGTTGTTCAGTCATGTCTGACTATCCGTGAGCCCTTTTGGGGTTTTCTTGGCAAAGATACTGGAGAGGTTTGCCATTTCCTTCTCCAGCTCATTATACAGATGAGGAAACTGAGGCAAACAGAGTTAAGTGACTTGCCCAGGGTCACCCATCTGGTAAGTATCTGAGGCCAGATTTGAACTCAGGTCTTCCTGACTCAAGGCCAGGTGCTCTATCCACTGAAACACCTAGCTGCCCATCATGGTCAGAAATCAAAGACAAATCTTCGGTGAATAAAAGTCAGGATATCTCCCAAATAACACTGAGGTCATCATAGTTGGCTTAAAGTTCAAAGGATTGAAAGATGGCCACTTTTTAGAGAAGAACAATTAGATATAATATGGATTATCCTTTGTTTACTTTTCAAACCAACAAGCCACAACTCTTGGTATTTAATTAACAAATTGTTCCTTGAATCAAGGCCTTTTACAGATAGAAAGAAGGAAGGAAAGAAGCATTTATTAATAAGTGCCTACTGTGTGGTAGGCACTACTTTACAGATCCATCATTTGATCCTCACAATACCTATGGGAGGGAAGGAGGTGCTATTTTTATCCCCATTTTACAGTTGAGGAAACTGAGGCAGACAGCTGTTAAGTGACTTGGACAGGGTCACGCAGCTAGCAAGTGTCATGAGGTTGGATTTGAACTCAGGCCTTTCTGACTCAGGCCCAGTGCACCACCTAGTTGCCTCATGAGAACATGCTTGGATTTCCTAGGTCTTGCCTCTCTTATCTGGGTGTCAGGGTCAGTGAAAGCAATATCATAAGACATGACTTCAACTAATACTTACTTTTGGGCACTGAAGGATAATTTGTGAAGTTTTGCTCCCCACAATGGGCCTTTGGTCTTTAGCAGGAACAAATATTACTCTTCCTTATTTTGAAGGCGGAAGGAAGCTCCCTCGGAGATGGTCTCCCCCTCTCTTGAGAGCAGGGTTGGAGGTGGGGAGGTGGAGGGGAACGGGAGGAAAGCAGAGAGCCTGGGCTTTCTGCAGGGCACTGGCTTACAATCCCTGAGGGGGTTTGGAGTCTTCCCTGACATATTTTTCCCATTCTAGAAGGTGGAAAAAGCATGTGTGTTGGTCTCAGGAGACCTGGGTTTGAGCCCAGGCTACCATCAGCCGGCTGGGTGACTTTGGGCCTCCCCTTGACTTCCCAGTTTCCTTATCTGTAGAATGGGGCTGTACCACTGGTGCTCTAGGGTTGCTAGAGTCAGTTCTGGGAGTGGGTGAGCTTTTTTGGTGTTATCCTGGGTCTGACGTGAGCCCCCCTCCCTCCAGTGCACTACCAGAAGATCATCCACCGAGACATCAAGCCTTCCAACCTCCTGGTTGGAGAGGATGGACACATCAAGATCGCGGACTTTGGGGTGAGCAATGAATTCAAGGGCACCGACGCCCTCCTCACCAACACCGTGGGCACACCGGCCTTCATGGCGCCTGAAACACTGTCTGAGACCCGGAAGATCTTCTCTGGGAAGGTAGGATGGGTGGGTAGGTGGCAATCGAAGTTCCCTTTGTCCTGCTACATGGGGGAGTGATTGTAAAAAGTTTAGACGGAAAAGGCATTGATTAAGCACTTACTGTGTGCTTAGTGCCAGGGATACACATACAACCAAGCAAGATGATCCCTAACCTTGAGGAGCTTACGTTCTGGCAGGGCAAGACAACATATGAAAGGGGGACGCTAGAAAAGGGGAGAGCCAGGTGGCGTCTTGGTGTAGAGGTGGCTGGCAGGTGCCACGGAGAGCAGAAGAGCCAGGTGACTCAGGAGCAGAGTCCAAGGTTAGGGGGTTTCAGGGGCCAGATGAGGATAGTGCCTACAGTGCAGGTGGCATGGGGTGCAGATGGTTGGGAAACAGCATGGAGGCTTGCTTCTAGACAGGACAAGGCTAAAGGTCACCTGTCAGACCCAGGAGATTCAGGGCGTGGACAGAGTTTGGGCTTGGAGGCAGGAAGACCTGAGTTCAAATCCTTCCTTTGACACTTACTTGCTGTGTGACCTTGGCCAAGTCAAGTTACCTCTGAGCCCGTTTCTTCATCTGTAAAAGGAGGAATATTAATACCTGCAATGTCCCTCCCCATTGTTTCGAGGCTAAGAGGAAACTATTTCTATTACAAATTACTTTGCAAACTTTAAAGTCTTTTAAGAATGTCAGATGTTGGGGCAGCAAGGGGGCACCATAGTGCACAGAGTGCTGAGCCTGGAGTCAGGAAGCCTCATGTTCTTGAGTTCAAATCTGACCTTAGACACATACTAGCTGTGGGACCTTGGGCAAGTCACTTAACCCTGATTGCCTTTTAAAAAAAAATGCCAGATGTTTCTGCTGCTGTTGTCATTATCCCCACCCCTCCTGCTGGGGTATCTTCTTCTCTTTTCAGGCTCTGGATGTGTGGGCCATGGGAGTGACCCTCTACTGCTTTGTCTTCGGCCAGGTAACTCACTGGTGACATTCTTCCCCCACCTCTTACCTAATCTGTCATGGGAGGGAGAGGGGCGATGCCCCTCCAGTCACCAAGCATCATCAAGCTGGCGAAGGACCTCAGAAGCCATTGAATTCAACCCCCTCATTTTACAGATGGGGAAACTGAGGCCCAGGGACATGATGTGACCTTGCCCAGGGCTACAAGGTAGTAAGTGGAAGAGCTAGAATTTGAACCCAGGTCTTCCGACTCAAAATTTAGCATTTTTTCATCAGGTTGAGTCTGTGACCCAACTGGACAAAAATGGTATTGACTCCCTTATAGGCTTCCAGGGGGCGCCACAGTGCCTAGTGCTGGACCTGCGGTCAGGAAGACTGGATGAGTCCCCATGCAGCTTATGTAACTTACAAGCTATGTAGCTCTGGGCCAGGCAAGTAACCTGGCTGACTCAGTGTCCTCATCTGTAAAATGGGCTGCCTCCCAGAACTGTTGTGAGGACAAAATGAGATCATATTTGTGAAGCGCTTGGCCAGCTGTAAAGCTGTAAATGCTAGCAAGTAACATTATCATCATCGTTATTGTTATTACCGTTATTCTTGGTATGGTTGGCGTGGGTTGCCATTTTCAGATTTCTCTATCTAGATCCAAGGATGCAGAAGGATGCCTTTTTCCATTCGTGTCCTTGACCCCCTGTCCAGGGAAGTTTGAGTCTCTGGCCCTGTGAGGGCAGCTGATTCCTGGGGAAGGATGGTAGTTTGGGGATAGTGGTACTCTCTGGATGGGACCCTTGGCAGGGAGAGGGCTGGGAAGACCTTTTTAATGCAGTCACCAGATAGAAATCCCTGTGCAAACTGGCATTTTTGTGTGTGTGTGTGTGAGGTATTTGAGAGTCACACAGCTAGTGAGTGTTATGTTTCTGAGGCTGGATTTGAACTCAGGTCCTCCTGACTCCAGGCGCCACGTGGCACAGTGGATAGAGCACCGGCCCTGGAGTCAGGAGGACCTGAGCTCAAATCTGGCCTCAGACACTTAACACTTACTAGCTGTGTGACCCTGGGCAAGTCACTTAACCCCAATTGCCTTAAAAAAGAAAAAAAAGAAAAGAAACTGACCATTTTCAAACCAACATCTATGGCTGTCACTACAAGGTCCTGTTCTCTGGGAGGCCAGGAGACTCTGGCTTATTCATCCTTGTGGCCCCATGGCTTCTGGCACCAGGCCCTATGCGGAACAGGTGCTCAATTAATGTCTGTTGAATGAGTCAGTTATCATTAATAATGAGCATGAGGGACAGCCTGGTATAAGGGCTGGAGAGCTGGCCTCAAACTGGGTTCAAATCCTGCCTCCGACACATACTAGCTGTGTGACCCTTGACGAAGTACTGAATCTCTGTGCCCCAGACAACTCTAGGATGAGCGCATCAGTGAAGAGAAGAGCTCCCCATAGAGCTGAAATGATCGGTCTGGGCTCAGACAAATCCTAGGCATATGAGAGTTAGGCACCATGAGAGTCAACGTCGTCTCTTTTTCATGTGGTTGGGGGAGAGGGGAAGAAGAGAAGGGCCTTCTTTTGGTGAAATGGGGAAAACAGGATACTCAGAAGTCATATGGCAAAGTCACAATGGGACCAGCACTGATATGTAGCCTTTAGCCACTGATGTCTTCAGTTTTTCCCAAGATTTGGGGGCAGATCTTTTCTCTCCTGCCCTGGACCTACCTCAGTTTCCCCATCTACGACACAAGGAATAATCCTAGCCACCCAAACTCAGTGGTGAAAGGATGGTATCTTTGACATAGAGGGGTCTTTTCATGAATATTCCCAGAGAAATGGATGGGAGCCAGCCGAGGGTGTGCTGGTAAATGTTTAACAACCAGCTCTCTGGGAGGGAAAATGTACACATAACACATTTTAAAATTTAATCTGCATTACTAACATTTTTTTTCCATCACTTTCTTGAGTCTAGATAATTAATATGACAATAAATCAAGCCATGATTTGCCAATTTCCAAGGTACACATGATCACACTGAAAATTTAACAACTGGCTCTCTGGAGCCAATTTCCAAGGTGCAAATGCTTGCACTGAAAATTTAACAGTCGTCTCTCTGGAGTCCGTATGAGTTGACTTCAGCATATCATTGGGGCCAACTGATTCTTCCTTCATTGACTCTTTTCTCCAGTGCCCATTTATGGATGAACGGATCTTGTCTTTGCATAGTAAGATCAAAAGCCAGGCCCTGGAGTTCCCAGACCAGTAAGTACCCTCCAAAACCTCAGCAACATAACTGATATTTATCCCCTTTTCTTTATTCACCATTCTAGTTCTGGCCCTGAATGCCGCCATTTCCCGCCTCCATGCCTTTCCATAGGCTATCCCCCATGCTTGGCATGCCCTCTCTCCTTGCCTGGACTAACAGAGCCCCTCCCTTTAAGATGTAGTTCAGGTACCACCTTCTATTTAAAGCCTTTCCTAGTTTCCCAAGTGCTGATGCCCTCCCCACCACCCACCTTGCATTTAATCTCTTTGTAGTTATACTGTATATTTTTACACGTGTGCTTGTCTCCCCATTGGAATGTAAGCTTCTTGAGGGCAGGGACCATTTCAATCATTGTACTGATATCTCTAGTGCCTAGCACAATGCCTAGCACACAGTAGGTGCTTAATAAATGCTTGTTGATTGCTTGGTTGACTGTCTTCTCCATCCCAGGCCCGATATTGCTGATGATCTGAAGGACCTGATTGTGCGAATGTTGGATAAGAATCCCGAGTCCAGGATCATTGTCCCAGAGATCAAGGTACCGCCAGCTGGGACAGACACGGGGGCTGCTGGGGAGGGTATGGGCCAGGGCCACAGGCACATCGTGTGGCTTAGTCTCTGTCCTGTGTGCTTCGACCTGTTTGGCTGACCTCCCCTGGGGCACAAGCCTCTGCTTCCTCCGCTCCAGCCTCGGCTCCATGCTGGCATCAGTCGCTGGAGCTGACCTGTGTCCCCTCTTATCCTACCACATTATGCCACCTTCAGACCATCCTGAGTCACCATGAGATTGTCGATGGCCCCTCCTGGTCCCACCTCTCAACCACATGCCTGTCCCCATCCAAGACCTGGCAGTCTGCTGCCCTCTCCCCTGACCCTCAGCTGGAAACGCCGTGGCTGTTCAGTTGGGTCCATCCCGCCCATCTTCCCAAGGTCAGGAAGGGAGAGCATCCATGGCTCTGCTCGGAGGTGTTGAGCTGACCTGGGCCCTTTATCGGCTGAGGCCTCCTTGTCTCCCTCCTATACAATGGGGCAGCTTCCCAGGATGCTCTGGGCTGTGTCTTCACAGCAGCTTCATCTGTCCCTGCTGGAGCTCCCAAACACAGCCCTGTGGCCTAGGGAGGAGCCGGGGCCTTTGTCTGGGTAACCTTGAGTCTCCTGGCCAGGAAATCTGGGCAGGGAAAGGGCCTTATCCCTAGCCAGCATGTGGAAGCCACTTTGGGGTCCTGAATTGTATTTGAAGGGGGTGGAATGAAACTGAAATGTGGTTTGTTGTGGAAAGGCAGTCTGGACAGGGAGGTTCAGGACTCCTGGGATCTCTCTTTCCAGCTTTGCTGCCAGCTAGCCCCTTGGGCCCAGTTACTGTCTTCCCTGAGCCTTGTTTGTGCCCTTCTGTGAAATGGGGAGACCATTCATGGAATCATCATGAGCTCATCAATCTAGAGTTCAAAGGGACTTCAGAATCTAACCTTCTTATTGTGCAAATGCGGAAACTGAGGCTCAGAGAAGGCCAGTGACTTCCCCAAGGTGTCCTGGATCCTAAATAATAGAGGTGGGGCAGGGAGGGGGCAGGCTTAAGAATTATAGGCTGGAAGCAGGACCGGAGGCAGTAATAATTCTCATGTGGTGTCAGCCTTAGCAAGATTTAAAGTTGTTTTTTCCAAATGGATATGGAGATAAGCCCGAGGTGTCTGTGATATTATGGTCCTCTCTCCCCTCCCTTCCATATTTCCTTCTGATTCTCTCTCCGCCCCCTGCTTCCTGCCACCATCCATCTGCCTGGCTGGCCCACCTGCCTGCATGTCTGCCTGGGGGGCTCTCCCCTCTTTGGCCTTCTCCCTGCATGCTCCTTCTGTCCAGCTGGCAGGTCATTGTTGCTTTCCATCCTCCCTGAGGTGCGTCCCGCCCCTCACCCCTCCTGTTATTCATTGAAGCTACACCCCTGGGTCACAAGGCACGGGGCCGAGCTGCTGCCAACAGAGGATGAGAACTGCACCTTGGTGGAGGTGACGGAAGAGGAGGTGGAGAACTCCATCAAACACATCCCCAGCCTGGCGACTGTGGTAAGGCGGGCAGAGCCCACTGAGTGCAGAGACGGAGGCAGAGAGAGGAAGGCAGGATTGCCTTCGAGAGGCATCTGGGAGCAGGGAGCAGGGGGGCTTAGCTTCCCGGCTGATGAAGACCCAAGGGGACCACCCTTTGTCTTGACTCCCCAACTTCCCCTTCTGTAAGACTGGAAACAGGGACGCTAATTTCAGGAAACTCTGAATTTCATGCTTAGAGTAATTGAAGATGGGGTGGGGGAAGAAGACGGATTGTTGAATTGGAGAGATTTTGAGGGAGCACAGGCCACTTAGAGTTGAATCTCAAAATAGCCTTCATTGGAATGAGTGGGCTAATATAAAGCTTGCCAAAGACCCTGAATAGGTTTTCACTCTCCAAGAGAGAGATAGGGACTGAATCTGCCATTTCACTGATATAAGGAACTCCCAAACGAGGAAACTCCTTTCACCAGTGCAGGTTGGCACCTTTTCTGTAACTTCTAGACTTGCCTGGTTAAATGACTTGCATAGGGTCACACAGCCAGGACATATCAGAGGGACTTCAACCCAGATCTCCCTGGCTCCAAGGGAGCACTGTGGGCACTTTAGCTACCATATTCCCTCTCTCTTGAAAAAGCCTGGACAAATCTCCCTCTCTGCTCTGGCAGACACAGCTGTCAATCTCCTGAGTCTGGAGGTTGCTATCAGGCTGCTTTATGCCCTTATGCCCTGGAGCTGAGGCTTATCCCAGAAGGGGGGGTCTGGAGGAGCTTGGGACCCCCAGGCCTCCTGCCCTGCCTTCTCAGGATGGTGAGCCAGCACCAGGGACAGGCGCTTGCTCCCCAGCTAGTTGGAGAAAGCGCCATATGGATAAGCAGGTTCTGTCCCAGCTCCCTCCCGTGGGGTTGCCAGAAACGTGCCAATCTGTCCGTCAGATCCCTGACCTTTACTTGTGGGGTCCCCAGTGAGGTAATAAGGATGACTCGTCAGCCTCGACGGGGTCACTGTAGACGTCCTAAGGTTTGCCATGTGCAGCTTGGAGTAACTTCCCTTGTCAGAAGGAGGATGAATCCTAGACTTTACTCGCTCAGCTCTGCACCTGCCGGACCCCGCCCCCCCTTGCCTCCTCACACACTCACTCTGTATCTCTCTCATTCTCCCCCCAGCCTGGAATCTCCTGGGCCTGGAATTCATGAACATCCTTCTCCGCTCTTTCTCTAGGGTCTCTGCATGTCAATCACAACTCCAAACCTAACCACCTCTTCGCTCTTCTCTGTCTCCCCTGGGCAGTGTTTCCTGCACCCGGTGGTGTGGGCCTGCTCACTCTGGGCCCCTGCAGGCCATCCCTTGGGGTTCTTCAGTTTGCGGCTGTGGGCACAACCCCAGCCTGGGGAAGGGGAGGTATTGGCTATGGAGTCTTTGGGTCCCGATCAAGAGAAGCCTGTGACTCTGAACTGCCCTGGGGAAAGCAGCTGGGCCTGAGCTCTCAGCACCTGAGGCTAGGGGGGATAGCCTTTGAAGGGGTCTGCTCCCCAACTCCTGAGCAGTTAAGTAGCACTCAAAGATCCTTGGACATGTTTATGAGCATCCAGAAGGCATCCGCCCAGCTGGACATGCCACGGGATCGCTCAGGGAGGCTGTACTACAAGAAAATCACTTGAGGGAACTGGGGATATTTAGCCTGGAGAAGACGGCTTTGAGTGGGGGAGAAGTGGGGACTGTGACCTCAGTCTTCAGGTACTGAAAGGGCTGCCACTTGGAAGGAGAAGAAGAAATTTTCCTTCTTGACCCCAGAGAGTAGAACTGGGAACAAATGAGGAAGGTTATACAGATGCACATTTAGGTTTGATGTCAGGAAAATTTTTCTAGCAGTTTGGTTAAAAACCAAAACCAAAACCATGCAGTGGACTCCCCCAGGGGATAGTGGGAACATGGAGGTGCAGTGATTAGAGCACTGGTCTTACAGTCAGGAAGCCCTGAGTTCAAATTCTTCCTCAGACACTTACTGGCTGTGGGACTCTGGACTCAAGTCATTTAACCTTTACCTGCCTCAGTTTCCTCATCTGTAAAATGGGGATAAGAATAACACCAAACTCTCAGGGTTGCTCTGAGGATCAAAGGAGATATGTTATGTAAACCTTAAATTGGTATGTAATAGTGGTTTTCCCCCTCACTGGAGGTTCATAGGATTCTAGTGCTTGCTCATTTTATAGTCAGAGAAATGAAGGCCAAGGGAAATGAAATGACTTGCCCAGGGCAGAATCGCTTAGTCATTGTCTGAGGCAGAGGCGGGATCTTCTTCCAGAGGCTAGGAAACCACTTGGGAGTGCTGCAGAGAAGATTCCTGTTCAAGTATTACTTGGGAGTACATGACCCCCAAGATCCCTTCCAACTCTGAGATTCTAAGATTCCTGAGAACTGAGTCTGCCCTGCCCTTTGTAGAAATTCCAAGAGAAGTCTTAAATTCTCTCCCCCACAGGTCTCTATATAATGGGCGGAGCCCTTGCTCCTCAGCTCTCTCAATTTGGACAGTTCCCTGTCCTTGGTCCTGAGACCATATGCCTCCACCATCCGTCCTCCTCCAATGTGCAAGCATTCAGTCAACTGACATTTAAGGACTGGCTTACTGTGTGTCAGGCTCTATGCTTGGCTCTGAGCATACAAAGAAAGTCAAAAACATAGTCCTTGCTCTTAAGGAGTTCATATTCTAATGGGTAAGAAAAAAGTCTATAGGCACGTACCAGATATATGCAGAATGGGTGGAAAATAACAGAGGGGAAGAAATTAGTAGCTAGAGGCCTGGGAAGGGTCTCCTGCAGGACAACTAACACCATCTTAGCTGGCTTGAGTTTGTCTATGACTCCTCGGCTACCTAGAGAGGATTAATCCATAAAACAAACATTGAATGAGCTCCCAATAAACAGAAGGCACCAAGGGAATGCAGGGATGTCTAAGGTTGTTAATTTTTATATTTAATTTTCTTAATTTTAAAAAAGTGTTAAATTTGAAATTTTAAAAATTTAAATAAAAAAAATCAGATGTGTAGATTGTAGCATGGAGCCGAGAGGGAAAGCTGTATTTGAGATGACAGATTCCAGACTCAAAAAGATTTTGATGTGCTAGACCTAGCAGTCAAAACTAACAAGGTCACATTGAATGGGAAGAACGTCCTGCACATAGGGCCAGACAATCAGAACCAGTACTGGACAGAGGACGACTGGCAGTTCATAAGGGACCATAAGTTCAAGGTAAATTGATAGTGTAGTACAGCAGCTCAAAAAGCTGATAATCACTTGTCGGATGCTTTAATAGGTCTGGAATCCAGAAGAAAGGAGGTGATGGTCCTGCTGGACTCAGAGCTGGGCAGGCTTCCTCTAGAATATTCTAGTTCATTAGGACACTGCCTTTGGAGATGGACATTTTCACACTGGAGGACATCCCAGGGGAGGAGGACCAGAATGAGGAGGGATCCTAAAACAAAGTGATAGATCCCAGCTAGAAGAACTGGGGATGCTTAGTTTTGAGGAAACTCAGGTAGAAGACTTTCAACTTGAAAATTCAGATATATTCTTCTTAGGGGGATGAGGAGGAGGTTCCAGGTCTATATGAATTGTGCAATTTTTTTTTTACCATAGTAACTTGTGGCAACTAGCTCCTGAGGGGTAAAAGGGTCGAAATCTGCATCAGCGAAGGTCCCCCCCCCCCATTGACAAAATCATGGATCCTTGACACAGTTTGCTGGCTTGTGAAGGATGGTTTAGATTTAGATTTAGAGCTGGAAGGGACCTTAAAGGTCACTGAATCCAGACTTCTCATATTATGGGTGAGGAAACTGGGACCCAGAGAGGCTGTTTCTTGCCCAGAGTTACACAGCTAGTAAGGGTCTGAGTTGAGACTTGAACCCAGGTCTTCTACAAGTTCAGGACTCTCTCTCTACTATACACACTGCCTCTTATAGCACAAGGAGAGAATAGAATTGGGGGATTAAATTACAAGGCCATTGTTATGGAACAGCCAAGGTAAGAGGGGTAAGAACCAGGTCTAGGAGGAGAGGCAGTAGTTATTCCTATAAAGGAAGAGATCAATCAACAAGCATTTATTAAGCACCTACAATTTGCCAAACACTGTGCTGGAAATGAAGGGCATTTTCCAAGAAGGGTTGGTGGGTCTTGGTAACTGAGTGCCTTCTGCTGGGTCTCTGGTTGGATCCCTCCCAGACAGGAGCAGGGTCTCCTGCCTTACAGGCTCTGATCTGGTTGGATCCCTGGGAGTTAGAATGACTGCTGACATGGTGGGGAGCCCCCAGGGGGCCAGGGGATCGAGGGTGAAAGGAGAAGGCTGCCCTTGGTGCCTGAGTGGTCATTAACACGCTCTTCTCTTGCTCTCCAGATCCTTGTGAAGACCATGATCCGTAAACGATCTTTTGGGAACCCTTTCGAGGGTAGCCGGCGGGAAGAACGTTCCTTGTCTGCCCCTGGAAACCTGCTCACGTGAGTGCCCTTCTCCTGTCTTCTCTTCTCTTCTCTTCTCTCCTCTCGTCTCCTCTTCACTCCTCTCCTCTCCTCTCCTCTCTGTTTCTGTTTCTTTCTCTGTCTTTTCTCTGTCTCTCTGTCTGTCTGTCTCTCTTTCTCTCTCTCTCTCCCTCCCTCCCTCCCTCTCTCCTGCCTTCATAGGGGCCTGGGAGTCCTGAAGTAGAAGGCCTCTGGCTTCATTTGTCATCTTTGGGCAGAGGTCCTCCCTGGCCATGGGAGTATCTATCTCACAACCATGAGTATGTCACATGGACCTTCATTGTGAAATGAGGTGAAAGTATTTGTACCTCACTATCGATGAGATGACATGTAGAAGCCCCATTAAACTTTGGGGGAGGAGGTAGGAATGCAAAGCAGTGTGGTGTAGTGTGTAGAGTGTTGGGAGTCAGAAAGACCTGGGTTCAAATTGTACATTTTTAACTGTATTTAAGTCATTTAAACTTTCTTGCCTCAGTTTCCTCATATGTAGAGCAAGAAGGTTGGACTCAGTGGCCACTAAGGACCCTCTTCACTCCAAATCTATGGTCCCACAAATACTCCTCTGTCATACATAATACCCTGTGGTACTTCTTGGTAGGTGAAGCCAATAGTGACCAGCCTGGGCCTTATTGTGAATGAAGGGAGTTGATCCCATCCCACCTGCCCCTCCTCCTCCTTCTCCTTCTTCCTCCATTCCTTTCTTGGCTTCCAGCCCAAATTCCATTCTTGTGGGGCCTTGCTCTCAGTTAATACTCACTAGAAGGCATTAGCTGAAGACTGGGTGTAACCTCTCTTGGGGCGGTGCTCTTGACAAAGAAGAAGTCTTTAGGAACCAAAAGAATGAATCTCAGATGGTAGAATTTTAGACTTAGTCATATACTATAGAATAGGAGGAAATCTAGGCAGCTAGGTGGTACATACAGTGTCCAGAGAGCTAGACCTGGAGTCCGGAGGACCTGAGTTTGAATCCTGCCTCAGATACTCACCAGTATGTGTGACCCTGGGAAAGTCACTTAACTTCTGTTTGTCTCAGTTTCCTCATCTGTAAAATGGGGATAAAAATAGCACCTACCTTACATGGTTGTTGGGAGGACTGAGTGAGATAACATGTTTAAAATGCTTTGCAAATCTATATAAACGATAGCTATTATTTTCTTTTCCCAAGAAAGGACCTCCCTGGGGCCCCTCAGTCCAGGACAGGGAAGCAGTAGGCTCTCTTGGAAGCCTGTTCATTCAGTCAACAAAAATTTATTAAACACCTACTATGTGTCAGGCACCCTACTAGGTTCTGGGTATGCAAAGAAAAAAATAAGACAGCCTCTGCCCTCAGGGAGCTTCCATTTTACTGGGGGGGGGATACAATTTATTCTCATTATACTCCTCCTAAAGCCTCCTCCCAAAGACAGCCCAGAAGCCCAGTGAATTCTCCATTTCTCATCAGTCTCACTCTGTAGATTCCACTCCTTAATCATGCCTTCCCTCCCCGCCAGCTTCCTTTCCTGTACTGTCTTCCCCCATTAGATTTTAAGGTCCTTGAGGGCAGGGACTGTCTTTCCTTTTCTTATTTGTATCCCCAGGGCTTAGCACAGTGCCTGGCACAGAGTGGGCACTCACTAAAGTTTATTAATAAACAAATACAAAATATTTATTTTATTTCATCAGCTTGAGGAGCTCCTAGTGAGGGATTTCCACTCTCAGTGCAGGTTGGACCTTCTCTGTAACTTGTAGAGAGTTGCCCAGGGCACTGAGAGGTGACGTGCCCAGGGTCACACTGCCAGGATGCCTGGAGTCAGGTTTGGGCAGGGGTCCTCTCTGGGAGGACTCGGAGGCTTTCTCTATATCCACCCAATCAGTCAAGAGATGTTAAGTGCCTGGCGCTGTCCTAAGTGCTGGGGACACCATGACAAATGCAAAGGATTCCCCGCCCTCAAAGGGCATGGGGGAGCCAGCGTGTGTATAAATAGGCATGTACAAGATCCATAAGAAGAAGTGCAAGGCAACCTTAGAGAGGAAGGCATTAGCAGCTGGGGAAACCAGGCAAACTCCTGCAGAAAGTGGCATTTAAACTGCATCTTGAAGGAAACCAGAGGTGAAGGTGAGGAGTACTATGCAAGGGGAACAGCCTAGGCAAAGAGATGGAGATGGTATATCAGATCGCCTGCCATCTTGGGGAGGGGGGAGGGAGAAAAATTTGGAACTTAAAATCTTTCCAAAAGTGAGTGTTGAAAATTGTCTTTACGTGTAATTGGAAAAAATAAAATACTATTAAATTTTTTAAAAATTTAAAAATTAAATAAAAAAAAGATAGAGGTGGGAAATAGAGCATGAAGAATAGCAGATAGGTCAGAGAATTTGGGGAGGAGTAATATGTAAGAAGCCTGAAATGGGAGGGAAAGGCTGGGGTATGCAGAACTTTAAATGCAAAATGAAGGGGTTTTATCATATTTTATCATCGAAGTAATAGGGACCCACTGGAGTTTATTGAGTGTGGGAAGGTGACATGGTGAGACCTGGCCTGGTTGGATATATACATCTGCGAGTCATCTGCATAGAGGTGGTCATTGAACCCATGGGAGCTAATGAGGTCATCAAGAAGAGAAGGCAACGCCCAAGACTGAGTCTTGGGGAACACTCACAGTTAGGGAACAAGATTTGGATGATGATTCAACAAACAGGCCTGAAAAGGAGCGGTCAGGATTAGGAGAATCTGGAGAGTGGTTCATGAACCCCCAAAGAACCTTTAGGGTACAAAGGAGCTAGATGGTGATTGATGGTGCCACAGGCTGCAGAGAGGTCAAAGATCAGGGTGGTGAAAAGGCCATTAGATTTGGCAATTAAGAGATCAGTGTAATTTTAGGGAGAAGTTTCCCATAAATGATGAAGTCTAAAGCCAGACCACAGAGGGTTTAGAAATGAGTGAAGAGAGAATGGAGGTACCAAATACAGATGGAGTCTAGCTGGGGGATTTTTTTTGAAGGATGAGGAAGGCATGGGTATGTTTATAAGCAGCAAGGAAGGGGCCAACAGATAGGAAAAGATTGAAGATTAAGGAAAGCGGGGATGATTGTGGGACCAATCTGCTGGAGAAGATGGTAAGGGATGGGTTCAGGGGCACATGTAGTAGGTTGATCTTGACAAAGAGAAAGACCATCTGCACACTCAAGGAGTAGCATGAAGGAGGACATGATGAGAGATGCTATTAGAGGGATGTGAGGTGATGAGGAAGGGACAAGTGGATAAAGAGATTAAAAATTAAGCAGAGGGAAGAGAATTGAAGGGGCAGGTTCCGGAAGGGATGGGAACAATGGGATCCCGGGCCTGGGTAGAGTGGTTGACCTTGGCAAGGAGAACCATGTTTTCCTCTGAGACTCAAGCAAAGAAGAGAATCAAGGGTAATGTCGAGTGGACTTGGTAGAAGTAGGAAGGATAGGGGTCTCCTGATGGATGCCTTTAATTTTCTCAGTGGAATATGAGGCAGGTGCTGAAAAGAATTGGAGGCAGAATGACTTAGTAGCCTTAAGGGGAAAAAGAACATGTTTAGAGTAGCTAAGGTAGGGAGCATTGAATAAATGAATGGATGAATTAAAAAAAAAACATTTTAAAGTCTTACTATGTTTCAGATGTTACGCTAAGACATTGCTAAACATAAGCACGAAATCTAGTCTCTATTCTCAGGGAATCTACATTCTAGAGGGGAATATGTAGGGGAATGGTGGTCAGAGAGGAGTGTGTTGACCTGGTGGGAGCCTGAGACCTGGACAGAAAGAGTAAATGGCCACCCATCAAAGCCTAGGCTCACAGGAGTGGGAATCCAAATTCTGAGTGGAAAAGGAAGAAGAGGAGGAGGGAAAGTGCACTGCAGGTAGCATTAGGGGCATGCAGTGCTGAGGGCTCAGCTGAGGGCCCAAATAATACAAATTGATAGCCTCTTCCCCCAGTTTGGCTATGTGCCTTTCCCTAATATAGTGAATAGGAGCAGAGAAGGTGGATGATGGGAGTGGCGCAGGGAAGGAATTTCGCAAAGCATGAGCAGCAATAGGAAAAGAGGGGGCGCTGGGGATTTGAGAGTAAAAGATGGTTAAGTTGAACTGGTGAACAGAAGGGTCATGATTGAGAAGAGAAGAAGTGAAGCCAGACCAGGGATGATGACCTGGGAGAACACTAAATGATGGTGGCACTTGAGGTCACTGTGTGGATTTAAAAAAAAAAAGGGAAGATGAAGAGGATGATTGAGGCACAAGGAGAGGTGGGAGAATAGTAGATTATGGTAAACCAGAGAAATGTCAGTGGTAGAATTCTTGGGGCTGGTAACAGATTGAGGAAGATGTCTATCCTTGTGTGTAGCTCAGGCAGTGAAGGAAAGATTAGGTCATTGGTGTTGGGAAGCCTGGGTATTTGAGGGAGGGGGATGGCACCAAATATATTGAAGTCTCCAAGTATACTGGCAAGGTTAGGGTAGAGAGGAAGACAGTGAGCTAGGGAGGAAACTCTTGAGAAGGAGGAAGAATCTTGGCCACCAGGATCTGGAGAAGGTCATGTATCTGTTTTGAACAAACCTCAAGGGATGAGCAAGTTCCAAGGCATAGCATCCAGAAAAGGACCTGGAAATGACAGTGGGGAGAAAGTAGGCCTCTCCTCTCACCTGGGATCTGAGTGTTTGGGCTGGGGAAGGGTCTTCTGAAACTCTCCTGGGCCCCTTCTCATGTCCCTTTTCCTTCCCCTTCCCCTAATTCCAGAAAAAAACATACAGGGGGATGTGAGCCCTTCCTGGAGTCCAAGGTAAAGCCAGCTCTACCTGCCTGCCTGCCTGCCCACCCACCCACCCGCCTAGGCCTCTGTCTGCCTGTGCATCTCTCGGGGCACGGGGATGGCTGCTGAGCACGTGGGCCCTTGGATCTGGGGGGCAGGGGGTTCCCTCCACACTCAGAGTACTTGGGCAGCTAGGCAGTTGAGGCACTGATCCAGGACCCCCAGCTAAGGAGTGTTGATGGAGAAGGAAGTCAGGGGCTAGGAAGTGGGAGGGAGTATCCCGGCAAGGATCCTCTTGGCACTGGGTATGAGGGTGCTTCGGAGGGCACCAAGTGCCCTCTCAAAAAGGCGACTGAGGGGCTGGGGCCACCCTGGGCTCAGTGCATGTAGTCCTGGGACCTGCTGCTGCATGGAACTGGAGGGGAGGGCATTCAGCCATCTGAGATACCCTCCTGAGGCTAAGGGGCCTGGCATCACCCAGCACTGTGCATGGGGATTGACATGCAATTTGGCCGCTGCCAGGAGAGAAGACCCCAGAGAAAGAGGGGTAGTGGAGAGGGAACAACTCCTGCAGGGAGTTCCTGCGGCTGCTATTACATCTGGTTGGTGGTAGGCGCTTCGGTCTGTAGGATTTTCTTCCCTTCCCACTCCCCAGCCCCTTAGGCTAATATTTTACTACTCAACTCTCTGAAGGTCATTTTAAAAAAGGACCACGTGGAGGGATTTACTGCAATGGGAAATGGGGCTCCTGAGAGCATTTTGGGGAAAATAACTGTTTTTTTTTTCAATTAGCAACCATCAATTTTTCTCTCTCCCACCTCCCTTCCCCTAATTGAAAAACAAAAACCCTTATGACACATATTCATAGTGAAGAAAAGCAAATTTCTGCATTGGCCGTGTCTAAAAATGTTTCTCTGACTCTGCATCCTGAGTCCATTCACCTCTCAGTCAGGAGGTGGGTAGCACATTACATCATCAGACCTTCAGAATCCTGGGTGGGATGGTCATTGTGTTGCTCAGAGTTCTTAAGTCTTTCAAAATCATTTGTCTTTACATTCTTGTTGTTATTGTATGAATTGTTCTGGTTCTGCTCACTTCACTCTGCATCAGTTCATGCAAGTCTTCCCAGGCTTCTCTGAAACCATCCCTTTTTGTCTTTTCTTACCACACAATAGTATTCCATTGCATTCTTCTGCTATATCTTATTCAGTCAATTTCCAGTTGATGGGCATCCCCTCAGTTTCCAGTTCTCTGTCACCACAAAAAAAGAGCTGCTATATATTTTGGTACATACTGGGAAAAACTTATTTGCCTCATCCTTTTCTAAGTGGTGGGGTGGGAAAGAGCATGGGCCTGGGTTCAAATCCTAGTTCTTCTTCTACTCATTACCCATGTGACCCTGGGCATATCCCCTACCTTCTCTGGGCCTCAGTTTGCTCATTGGTAAAATGAGGGCATTGGACTAGAATGATGCCTGTTCTCTTAAATGAATTTACAGCTCTAACCTCTGTGATGTCAGTCAGTCTCTAAAATGCATTTTCCCCACCCCATGCTATTCCCAGATCTTCTACAATTACAGAAATTAGAATATTATTGGAATTAGTAACTTTGCCTTTGTGTGTGTCTTCAGCTCAATTCTTTTTTTATTAAGCATTTATTAAGGGCAAGGAGCTGGCCCTGCACATTACAATCTAATGGATAAAAAGGGTATGGGAATGAGTATAACACAAAGAAGAATAAATGTTGGGGCAGCTAGATGGTGCTGTGCATAGAGCACCAGGCCTAGAATCAGGAAGATCTGAGTTCAAATTTGGCCTCAGACACTTATATGTGTGACCCTGGGCAAGTCACTTAACCCTGTTTGCCTCAGTTTCCTCACCTGTAAAATGAGCTGGAGAAGGAAATGGCAAACCACTTCAGTGTCAAGAAAACTGCCTGGACAAGGTCTATGGGGTCATGTGGAATCAGACATGATTGAATGAACTGAACAACAAGAAGAGATGTGATGAGAATCCGAGAGGTTGGAGCCCAGGGCTGAGGGTGCCTTCCTCCCATTGAAGGAAAGATGCTATTTCCAGCTTTTCTCAAGTTCGATGCTCCTCTGCAATTCTAGGCCATTTTCTAATCTCCGGAACCATAATAACCTGCCTTGTCTTGTTGGGGGTGTTGCTTCTCAGGCATACAAGGTGTTTCTGAGGGCTCCATTTAGGGTCTAGTAATCAGAGGACCATCACTTTAGGAAGGGACCTCAGAGGTTTCCCAGTCCAAATCCTTCCTTTTGTGAGTAGCAGAAAGAGTGCCAGATTTGGAACTAGGGGACCGAGATTCAAATCCTAGTTCACAAGACATAGATTTAGAGCTGGAAGGGATGTTAGATGCCATGAAGTCCCACTTTTTTATTTTACAGATGGGAAAACTGAGGCATAGGTTAAGAGGCTCAAGGTCACAAGGCTAATAAGTATCTGAGGTAGCATTTGAACTCAAGTCTTTCTGACTCCAAGTCCAGTGCATTATCCACTATAGCACACTGCCTCTCAGTTCTGTCACTTATTATGACACTTATGTGTGAACTTGGTCATCAGTTAACCTTTCTGGGACTCAGTTTCACTATCTGTAAAACAGGAGGTTGGACCAGAACTCTGAAGTTCTTTTTAGCTCTGTTTCTATGATCACAGTCATTTCAAATCAATAGACATTTATTAAGCTTTTACTATGTGCCAGAAACTGTACATGCTAAACTCTGGGGACACAAAAGAGGCAGAAGATAGCCCCTGCCCTCAGGGAGCTTACAATCTAATGGGGAGACCACAAGCAAACACATATGTGTAAAGGAAACTATACATAGGATAAATAGGAAATAATTAACAGAGGGAAGGCACTAGAATTTTGAGGAGTTGGGGAAGGCTTCCTGTAGGAGGTGGGATTTTAGTTGGGTCTTAAAGGAAGCCAGGGAGGTCAGTAGTTGGAGTGGAGAAGGGAGAGCATTGCAGGCATGGGGGACAGCCAGAGAAAATGCCCAGGGCCGAGAGATGGAGTGTCTAGTCCATGGAACAGTCCACCGGATCAAAGAATATGTTTGGGGAGTAAGGTATAAAAAGACTGGAAAGGTAGTAGGGGGCCAGGTTAGGAAGGGCTTTAAATGCCAAAAGGAGATTTCGTATTTGCTCCTGAAGGCAATAGGGCATCATCTTCCTGATGTCATAGTTCTGTTCGAGAATGAAGGACAAACCAAAACCACAACCTGAAGGCAATGGGGAACCACTGGAGTTTACTGAGGAGATGGGTGATGTTTTAGGAGAATCACTTTAGTGGCTGAATGGAGATAGACTGGAGTGTGGGGAGACTTGAGGCTCGGAGACCCAGTATAGCAACAGTCCAAGTGTGAAGTGATGAGGGCCTGCACCAGAGGGGTGGCGTGTCAGAGGAAGGAAGGGGGCAGAGGCTGAATTGACAAGCCTTGGCATCTGATTGGATATGGGAAGTGAGGGATAATGAGTAATCCAAAATGGTTTTCAGGTTGTGAGCCTTCGACTTTGGAAGGATGGTGCTGCCCGGTATAGTTATAGGGCTGATAAGAGGGAGGGAGGTTTTAGGGGGAAAGATAATGAGTTCTGTTTTGGACTTGGTGAGTTTAAGATGTCTACTGGTCATCCAGCTGGAGAGGTGAGACTGAAGGGTGGGCTGTGGCAGAAACAAACCTTGTAACTTACCCAAGGTCAAATTGATAATGAGTGGCAGAGATAGGCTTTGAGCTCAGATGCTCGGACCCCAATACGGCGCTCTTAACACCATACCTCTCCATATGGTTTCTTTGTTCCCATCCCCGTCACCCAATCAGGAGTCATTTCCGTTCAGTCCAACCACCAAGTCTGTCCTTTGCCCTCTGCTGGACTTCAGGAGAGAAGAGAGGAAGCCTGTTTCCAGGCCAGCTGAGGGCATGGGAACAGTCCGTAACGTGCTGCCTCCAGGGTCCAGGCAGGGTGGGCCCCAGTGGCAGCTTCCCTGGTGCGCCGGGGCCGGGAGGAGGAAACCTCATTGACCGCTGGTTTTCTGTGTTTCAAGCAGGAAGCAAGGCAGCGAAGACAGCCTCAGGTACACCGACCTGCCGCAAGTCGGGGAGGAGGAGGTGGTCTGGTGAAGACTGCCGCCCTGGTGGAAGCGCGGGCCCCGGACCGCCCGGTGGGTAACGGGCACCGGCCGCTGCCTCCGCCGGGAGAGGCAGCGATGGAGCCTGAATAACGCCGGCTGGGCACGTCCACGGTCCGGCCTGCTCGCCTCCACGGGGCCCCGTGCTGGCCGCCAACACATCCTGTCTCCATAGCCGCATGTCCTACCGAAACTGACCACTTGTGTAAAGCGTTGCCCGTCATCTCTGGTTGTTTCTTTTCCGTTGTCGTTTTCAGGGGTGGGGGGCGGGGGGAGGCATGGCATCTGCTCCGTGACGCGGACGTTGGCCTTGGGCTGGCAGGAGGGCCCAGGGAGAGGAGCTGCAGGCTCCCCAACCTGACACTGGAGGGGAGGGGGGTGGATGAGGCGACTCCTTCGGAGAAAAAGTGTTCATGCCAAATATTTCAAGTCGTGGCAACTGCGATGCTTTCGCAAAGCTGGCGGAGGGCCCCGGGGACGCCACCACCCGGGAAACGTTACCACCTCCCGGTCTTGACTCACCTCCTCCCCAGAGGGCACCGGGCTTCTGGGTAGCCCAGACGAGTCTCATTCATCCCAAGGACTTTTGTTTGCCTTCGCCTCCCTCCTTCACTGGTGAAGGATATTCCTTATTTTTTGGGGGGGAACCCCCCAAAACTTTTGGACATATGCATACCTTAGTCAGGAAAAACAAATCTCTGAAAGGGCTCCAAGTTCTGCGTGAGTGGCTTAGTGGGGGGAGGGGGGAGGGACAGGGAGAGCGGCAGCAGCAGGGCTGGGGGGCGTGGTCCCCCAGGGGTGGGGTGGGGGCTCAATCTGTTGCTTTTAGTCAGTTTTCAAAGGGCAGCAGTGAGAGTGCATTTCTGAAATAGGTTACTGAGCTACTAGGTTTATATACTGTTAACTTTAAAAATTCAGGGTGAAATCCAGCACTTCCATGTACATTACATGGCTTAAGATTTTTAATTATTTGAATAGGTTAGAATTTAGAGTTCAAAAATTATCTAGACATCAGCTTAGTGGTTTTCAAAAAAGTGCTCTCTTTAGAGCTTCCGACAGGGGATGAGGGCTTTCAAACTGCTGGGACAGTGTCTCCCTCTCCAGCATCTTCGCTCGTATACCCAGGAGGCTGCTTGTGTCTTGTTTCCACCTTCTATACTAGCTAGCTATATAGCTGGTGAGTTACTACAGCTCACTTCTGGTGGGGCTGTGTAGGAAGTTTGATCTCAGCAGTCATGCAAATTGCAAACCCTGCTGTGAAACCTCCACAGGAAGCCACGGGGTCACTTGTGGTCTACTTCTGGAGGAGATTGTTCGTACTTGGAACAGTCCCCAGGTGACGGTTGAGACAGGTCTCAGCTGTCACATTGAGATGTTCTTCCTGGTGGCAGGAAATTGGGATAATTTCCTTTGTCTCTACTCACCAAGAACATGACTATGCATTCTTTTTTAGCTTGGAATCTGCTTCCCGCCAGAGACAAGTTGGTCCCATTTGAAGCCCCAACGGAAGGGGAATTAGCAAGGTTCCACCTTTGTTTCTTGGCTTCAAAGCACACCTTTCTTATACATTTGAAAGTTTGATCCAGAGGAGTCGTCCAGGTGCCTGAGGCCACTTTCTTGGGGATACTTTTCCCTCTAGTCTGAATGGCTCAGTAGCCACCAAGACAGGCTAGGTCTGGTGCCCTCACCTCCTCACTCTCATGGGGTTTGGGCTCCATCCCTTTTCCCTTGAGTATTGCTTAGGCAGACTTTCTGGATGTCCAGAGACGAGGTCAGGAAAGTCAAGGGCTGAGTCAGACTGTCTGCCACTCTGACATCCGAGCATTAACTCTGTTTCCTGATTGTCCTTGACCACAGAATACTTCCTCCTCCAGCACATTTTAAAATTGATGACAAATCCCTGCACAAATCTGAGACCCACCTTTTGTGGTTGGTAAGTCGTTAGCTCATGATAAGCACCTTTTGGAAGTGATGACTGTTAACCTTATTCCTAGTTCCAGTGTGTGTGAGATGGCCAAGCAGTACATAGACACTGTATCGAATCTCCCTCTTGTTTACATCACTGCATCGGGCAGTGCTGTGGCTTGCACAGTTTCAGGCACCTGGGCCTCACTGCAGTTTCTGATGTCTGTGCTGCAGGTCAGCCAAAGATCAGGGATTTGGAGCTAAAAGGGACCTGAGAGGTCATCCAGTTCAACTCCCTCTCCCTTATTTTACAGATGAGGAAACTGAGGCTGGAGGTCACACAGATGGTAAGTTGGCAGGGGCAGGATTCAGACCCAGAGTCATCACTCTGTCTAGGTCAACCCCACACTAAGGGGTTTTCATGGACACTATAGGTGGGAGGCACTCAAGGGTCACAACCTTCCTTTGGCACAAACTCTTTGGAGTTCAAGTCCTTATAAAAAAAAATTAAGCACAGTTATTAAGGAAGATGGAGTGATTACTGAGAACCGTTGGGTTTTTTAAAAGTCCAAACAGCAATTGAGTGAATGCAAGCATAGAAGAAAAGGGTACTCAGTCTTTCTTTCCCCTGCTTTGAAGGGGGACAGAGAAGATGGACCTAGGTTCAAATCCTGGTTCCGTCCTGTATGGCTTATGTAATAACCTTGGGCCATCACTTTTCTGGACCTCAGTTCCCTCATGTGTAAAATTGGGGGGGCAAGGCCCCTTTCCAGCTCCTAAATCAGTGATCCCAGAGCCTGTTTTCATCACTCTGCCAACCTTCTGTCTTGGAGGTCACAGTTTGGTGGAGGCAGCTTGTGCACGTGTGAGTGGGGGGATGGGGGGGTGGGAGGAGGGAGCCTCTAGGTTAGCATCAGAGGCTAGAAGCTCAGGCCACCTCATTCGCCTCTTTTCTCTCTCTCTCTCTCTCCCTCTCTTCATTTTTCCTTCGAGTGGTAATGTGTGGGCCATGCAGATCCCCAATATTAGAATACAATGTGTGACTCTCCCCTCCCTAGGTTAGGATTGCCCCTCTCTATTTTTCGGCAGCCGTGAGCTTAGAGTTCCTTTAAATGTTAGACTGGTCTCCAGAAATACCAAGGAAAAGAAAGACATTGATTCTGTCTTTGGTTCCATCTTCTCAAAGGTTCCCTGGATTCGACAGGTTTTGAGAGATTTCTGCTGCCTTTTTGATGCTGTGGTTAATTTAATGCCCGATGCGTGTTCATTCCTCGTCCTTTTTACTATGCATTTTCCTTTTATCAGGTGTACAAAGTTAAATACTGTGTATTTATCACTTAAATTACATGAACTTAAGAAAAAATGAAACTTTGGTGTTTTTCCACAGATGTCGAAGCTTCTCTGTAAACTTGAATAAACAGATAGCAAAATGGTCTTGTTCTTTGATGTGATTATTATAATCTCTCCTTAGAATCCAACCCCCCTCCCCCCTTCAGTGTTTTCAGGTTTTGGTTACATTATTGTAGTTGCTGTGTGTCTTGTTTTCTGATTTCGCTTACTTCCCTTGGCATCAGTTCATATAAATTTTCTCATGCTTCTCTGAATTCTTCATATTGATGGATACAATCAATAAATGAACAAGTTGCTATTGTCAGGTGCTGTGTTAAATTTTGAGGATACCAGGAAAGGCAAAAACAGCCCCTGCCATCAAGAGGCTTATATAACAATGCAAAAATATACAAATTTACGGCCATTCTCTTTCAATTCAACAAGTACCTACTGTGGGATGGGGGGGATCAGTCTGGAAAGATAGGTTGGAGCTAGAATGTCAGGGGCTTAAGTGCCAAATAGAAGAGTTGGTATGTGATCTCAGAACTCAAAGGGGAGCCATCCAAGTTTCTTGAGTAAAGGTGTGGCGTGGGCAGAACCATTCCTTAGAAATAGCTATGTATTAATTTTGTGGAGCTGGATTGGAGAGGAAAGCCTGAAGGAATGAGGCTGAAGTAATTAAGAGATGTGAGGAGGGATGGAACTAGGGAGTTCCCTCACTGTGTGAGTGGAGAGAGGAGAGTGAAGCCAGTTACATGGAGATGGAATTGGGTAAGATTTGGCAACTGAAAAGGGAAGGGAAGTGACATACTGTGTATTTATCAATACACAGGGGAGAGTTTCGAATGATTGTGAACCAAGGTGACTGGAAGGAGGCTGAGTGATACTCTCAACAAAAATAGGGATGTTAGGGAGAGAAATGGGTTTTGGGGAAAAGATGAGCTCAGTTTTGGAAATGAGTTTAAGAAGCCCAGAGGCGGAAAAACCCAGAGAACTCTCACATTTTCGTTGCCGTGGAGTATCCTCCTGTGATCTCCTATATCAACAGGCTCTGTGGCCTAGCGCTCCCTTCCCCCGAGCCAGGTCACCCATGATTGCCCACTGCAGCCCACTGCCTGACAGGGGCTGTTTGGGAGCCGCCACTATGGTTTACGTCATCACAAGAAGAACAAGCCAGCATGCCAGCAATCCCATCTAGCAGTTCACTACTACCAAAGGTGTCTAGGTTCCACTTCCAGCAACAGCTCCTGTGGAACTGTGGAGTATTCTGGGGAAGTGATCTCCCACCATTCTGGTCTTCCCAAATCAAACCCAGGCCACTGGTGGGCATGATGGGGTGCTTGGGTGCTTGTGCTTGTACTTGGACCCCAATTTCTCCCTAGTCTCAGAAACACTGCCTCTGACAACCACTCCCCAGCCCAAGGACACTGTGCTTAGCAGTTATTCATGCGTAGGCCCCAAAAGGACCCCTATCTCTCTCCCTGGTGCAGCTACACAAAGCTGGGTGAGAGGGTACTGGGCTGCTCAGGCCCCAGCCCTCAGATCATGTGTCTGGAAGCCTCCCAATTCCTTAGTAAGTTCCTGTCTTGTGAGAAAGCTTTCCCTTGTTGCAGCACATGCTCTCATCAAGACAGAGGGAGAGGGGTGCCTTGCCCAGCCCAAGGAGTTTTGTCCTTGGCCGGCCCAAGGACTCTTCCTCCTGCCAGACTCCCAAGATCCATACCTCTGTCATCTCCCTCCCTGTCTGGTATACTCCCTGTACTTTCTCATGCATAGCTCCCAAAGACACCTGGACCTTTAGATTACCTCATCAGTGTCCCTGGCATTCCTTTTCCATATAAACCCTAGCTCCATCCTCAGTCTCTTGCAGGTTCCTTAAGAATCCTTGCCCACTGAAAATCGTAACAAAAATCTTTGCCACCTTGACTTAAAGAATGCTCGAGTCTGTGAATTCATTCCAGAGGACCCTGTCCTGTACCCCTCATCTTT